ACTATTACTATTTTAGATTGATATATGAGCTGGAATATGATATATGAAATTCAGACTTAACCTTCTCTTCTTTTAGAGTTCAGATTGTCTTATGCTTATTATGATTGTTGCGCTTCTTGCGAAACATACAAAATATATGGGCCAGGTTGTACAAAGGCTGAATAGCGCTATCTGGCAGATAAATCCTTATCCAGTGGATAAATAGATGCTGTTATCCAATAAATTTACCACTGGATAAGATTTATCCATTGCATAGCAATATCCAGGCTTCGTACAACCAGGCCCTGAAGTATCACATCTAGATATTCTAAATATGTCATGATCAATCACAATTTATATTTTAGCATCAAATATAAATATATATTTTAGGTAAGGTAATATATGTATATATATTAATTAATTAATATTTAGAATACTTCACACACAAACTTTATATTATACATGCATTGAATTTCTTAATTCCTTTTCATTCACTCATAATTGGTTATAATTGTAATTGGTTATAGTTGTAATTAATTATTAGATATTGAAATTAAGTTAATGATAATAATGATGATAATAATAACAATAATWATWATTATTATTAAATTGAAAAAAATTCTAATAGGTTTTTAACATGAGAATTCATAGCCATTGTATAAATCATGGAGTGCTTACTAGATAAATGTGTGGTTTACGAGATAAATAGCCGAGGTTAAACTACTTGGTGTAGATGAGTAAAAATGCAGCAAGGCCCCCTAACCATAGGTACAAGATTAACGAAGGCTGGACCTCTAAAAGTATAATATAAAGGATAAGGATATCATGGTTCTACTGATCAGCCCTACTAATCTTATACCTAATGAGCCATTCCAGGGTTGAGGGAAAAACTGGGTTGAGTTGGCATTGTAATGCAATGAGATCATTTTAAGGCATGAGCTAGATACCGTCTTGAAAATATGACCCCTACAATGAGTCTCACAATAAACTGCAATGCCAACTCAATACAGTTTTTTCCTCAACCTTAAAATAGCTACATTGAAGATAGAACAGTGAGAGATTATGTCATCTCATGACTCATTGAAATTCAGAATAAGCAGTGATCGAGGCCAAAGTTAGTGATGTCCTTAGACTTTTAACTAACTTAAAACTATAACTATATATCCATTTCTTTTACTTTCTGTATTGAAAGGCCAGGGATAAACCCAAAAAGGCTGTTTGGTGCTGGAGATATGCCAGCCAGGGACATACATGAAAGCTAGTCATGAAAGCATATTGGTATTTTGATAGAAGTATAAACCTTTGAGTTAGGTAATGTACATTTTTTATTGGGAGGAGGACTGGGGGCTTCAAAGGGGAGGGTCATCTTTAAAAATAAGGGTCAAACCTTGTTATTTTGACGAAAGCTAGTTCCTTGTTGACCTAATAGCAGGATCATGATTTTCTTACAGCAAAAGTGGAATTAAACTAAACAAACCTTTAAAAAGTTTACAGCTGTGAATCCCCCAGCTCTCCCCCTCCCCATAAAGAATGTACCTTCCCTTGTGATGATCAATAAGTATTTATCATCCATTTGAATAAATATATAATATATTGTTAGTTTGTCCATTAATTGACACCTTGTAATTACTTATAAGTGCAAGAAAAAGAGCTGTGCTCTTATTAATGTTAAGTTATTAATGTTAATCATATTACTAGTATATACTATTATTTTGTATAAATGTTTTAAGTATTTTTTCAGTGCATTTGTAGACAAGCCAGTAACCTTTTATTATTATTATTATTATTATTAKTATTATTATAGTATTATTATTTTCAGTAAAAATAGCAAAAGTGGTTTAATGTTAGCTGTCATGTCAATATTGAATGATCGATATTGATATATTACTCAAGTACCTCGTGTCAATTCCATAACAATTTCAAAATCATGAAACTAGTATTATCTGTAGTCTGACTATTATATCTACTACTAATTTACATTGAGGCAAATATTATTAGGAACTGGTCATTATTACTTGCCTTGAAAAGGAGGGGGTTCTGTATTTACAAGAGCAACCAATCCTGCAAAAGAGCATTATCTTACTCCTTGAACAACATATTGATACTTGTAAATTTTAGCTGTTCTCCCTCCTCCATTAATTTTCAATACTCCATGTGATTCCTCCTAAATTCTTCAAGCCCCTCTTCCCTTTAAGACAATAATCACTGGTTCCTAAGTTCTTATGGATGGTGTGCGACCACATGACAGTTCACTCTCTCGTAAGCGACCACGCACACCCCAGGGCCAGGTAGGAGAAAGTGGTCGCTTATATATGGGAGATGGTCGCATACGAGAGAGTTAAAACAGGAAGCCTAAACCATTTATAATTTGTAGCTCACGTGTTACAACTACTGTATTAACGATTAAACTGTTTTAGTAAACTGTGCTATATGTTTACAGACGTTCTATAATTGCCAATACTAGCTTCGTCAGATTTTAATACCCGATGACTCTTGTTCTTAAATTTTTTATTGTTAAAGGATCTGTTATTGACTGGCTCTTGGGTGGTCGCTTACGGGAGAGGAGAAATAATGAAAAATTCCAAAATTTTAAAAGTTCGTTGCGGTTGCTTACGAGAGTGGTCGCTTATGAGAGAGTTTTTTTACAGAGTTTATATGGGGAACAAAACGGGAAATTAATAAAATAGTCGCTTACGGGATGGTCGCTTACGAGAGTGGTCATTCAAAGAGAGTCGAATGTAGGATATAATGAGAAATGCTTTGTTATCGTAAACCAACATGGCTGCACAAGATGCACCTCAAGAAATACAAGCTTATTCTAGATTACCTCTGTTTTTCTGAGTCTGGTTGAAACTTAATATTCAAAAAAATATCCATGATACTTTGACCTTATTAAATACAATGGTCAATAAAACATATTTGTTAACATTACTTGTTAATGATTGCATTACTTATTGTCATGTACGATGTAAATTTACAGGGCTCAATCTTTCTTCTGGTACTGGACACATTTTAAATAATTCAATAGCTACAACAAAAGACCCCAAGTAATAATATATAAAAGAATGAAGTTAACAATTAATGATACATGCACAACACTGAGGTTTATGTACATGCAGTCAAGGACCTTACAGACCCCTTGCTGTGACAACAAGGCAGCTCAACCTTTCTTCATAATTAACCCTCTATTTTCATTCCCCATGTATTAAAGTGAGTTGAAACTCTTTAAAAGTTAGTGAGAACGAGTTTCAAGTGGGGAGGGATTAGTAGGAAGATATTCCTTCAAGGCTAGAAAATAATTATTAGGACATGAGAAAATCTTTCAGAAATCCTTAAGAATAAAAGTTACCTTTGCAGATGCACACATCCTCGCTTGCTTGCTTGCTTGCTTGCTTGATTGATTGACTGATTGTGATCCCCAGGGGGAGGGGGGGGGGTTATATGGATTATATGGGGATGATCTGCTGAACAGGGTATGGTTTTTCAAGCTTCTTGTCATAAACAGGGTATGCAATTTCACTCAAGTTCCAAGTTCTTCCTGAGTTTTCTGTCATATTCAGGGATTCTACTTTCGTATTGAACAAAACTGATTATTTTGGTCGTCAAAAAAACAATATGCAAGCTGACATGATAATTGAAGCAGAAACTCAGTGCAATAAATAATTTATTTTATTATATCTTTTGTCATAAACAGGGTCCACAAAAKCCAATAAGTGTTTGTAAGCCGAGTTAAGATTCATGATAGTTATGATTCATCAGGGTCCACAAATTTGAGTTTTTTTATCATAAACAGGGTACCCCTTTCAGAATCCCAGCGGAACACCCCTACCCAAATTCTGGCGGAGTACCCCCCAGGTTGTGATCTCACTTTTTCAGTCAGCCTGGGTTTTTAACAAATTATGGGTTACCTTTAATTTTCTATATTTGTGTAGTCATGGGTACAAGCACCCAGTTTCCCGCGTCTAGCGCGCCAACCGCTGGCACGTGACCGCATATTCGTTCAACGCATGTATTGTGCTCACATGCATTGGTGTAGCATTACTTGGTTTTTCGACTTTCTGCCTAAATATACGTAAGTATTACTTATTTTTCGCTGCTTTTGACATCGTGGAGTAAAAGAGTATTTCTTTTAGCAACGATTCTCGATGTTTATAACATGATTGGTTCAACGGAAGCGAAAATTTTGGTCCTCTTTTGGAAGACATCGCAGTTCTGTAAAAGGTCAAGGACACCGATAAAAATTACTATTAAAACGACAAATTTCCTTCTGAGGTGGATGTAGACAAAATCATTGGAGATTGTGTATATATTGGTAACTTATTGTTTTGTTTATTTGATGGTACTGGCAGCCATGATATCTGTTTGCCTGTGATAACGTAGAGAGACTATATATCACCATGATACAGACCTTCTCTTTCAACATTATTTTGGCAAATACAGCTTCCTTTACACTTTGTACGATTAAGATGTAATTGGTCAAGTCTGGAAAAGCCTTCAAATATTCTCTTTTAGTCTAGAAGGATAAATCGACTGGTTGAAACGCTACTATACTATTGATATCGAAGGGAAAGTGGTTTTCTTCACTGCTTATGTCAATGTGTCGTGGTTGCCATTTCCGTTCTGTGACTCATCGACTCAAGATTCTGTGCTTCTCAGTTTTGTGTTTTCTGTCTTAATCAGCCATGCTTGTTGTATATTTTTGGATTTAAGTTTTCCTGTGGTCTATATTATTTGCTAACATAGTAAAATTTAAAGTAGCGAATAATAGATTTGAAAAATCGTACAGCGATTGTATTAGACTACTTTGCCATGAGGTGACATTTGAATGTGTGAATATTAAAAAAAAAAAAATATTGAAATTTATTTGATTGTCATGTTTAAATTCACTTTCTAATGGCTATTTTCCTCCATAATTTTATAGAAAGTATTTAAAGTTTGCATTTGATATTTTTCCTTTTTATATGTACGGTTTAGCACATACTGTAAAGGTATCTTATCCATCCTTTTTACATTCGTTTCCTTTGTTTATTTGGTGGGCATTATATTCTACTCTCTATATTAGTATAAAAACGCGATGTTTATGACTGGTATTTGCATGCATGCATGTGCATTCTTAAATTTATCTTTATTAACACCAGTTTAATTAAAACCACTTTCTTTTGTTTTTATTTGTGTTTATTGACAATTATAATTTGAAAAGTTAAAATTATAAATTGAACTTAATAATGAGCTAAAAATGCATAGATAATATGCAATACTATTGTTTATAAATAAGCAACTTTATAGCTTACTATTGCTATGATTTATAGTTGTGGTATTGTATATTTGTACTGCATTGTAATTTACAAGGAAACATATATGCTGTAAGCTCTTCTTGTTGTACATTCTCCATGTTTGAACATTGTTACATGATTAACAAGCTATGTGGTGGTATTCTAACCAAAGCTTTAGGCTTTGTGATAAATTATATGCCTAAAGCATGCAATGAGAAAACTTTCTCTTATACAAACTGAATTATAATTTTTCTTTTTTTAGGATCATTGTATATAGTTTGTAATATAGACTGTTAAGATAGTTACGATGAAAGGAGGGACGACACAAACACAACAAACTTCACAGACAGACACATCCAACATCAAAAAGGTTTGAATCATTCTTGTTACCTGAGTCTAATATGTATACTCTAAATGGAAGGCCTTGTTACCAACTATTAGGTCACTAGGTCTTATGATGTATTCATGAAATATAGAAGATATTAATCTCATGTTTTGTGTTATCTGAAATATTCACTGTATTTAAAGTCTTTTGAACATTATATAATGTATTTGTCTTTAAAACAGCCTACTGCAGAACAGATACGGTATGCACAACTACTGAATAATGAAGATTTGAAAGTAGTACAAGACCAGATCAAACAGGTATGCCATTGATATTAATTTGTTTTGATTAATTGCTATCATATATAAAATGATGGTATGTGCTATTTTACTAAATATATTAACATGGTTCTTACTTGTAGGTAGCAGATTTTACAGGGAGATCCTCTGATGAGGTTTCAGTAGCTTTGCATGACTGCAACTATGACACAGAACAAGCCATCAACACATTACTTGAAGGCAGTGCAGACAAGGTAGAATTCTTGCTTTTATATGCACACCTCACAGGATTACATATTTTGATGCTGGATTCCAAATGATCAATGTCAAAACCCTGGAAATGATAAAACATTTTACTATATTGTCTAAGCATAAACTATTTGTTGTCAACAGAATGAATGGATAACTTCAAGTAGTCGCAAAAAGAAACATCAGGTTACTGGACAAGGTGTTGATAACATCATCAGTTCTGGACAGCCAACAAGAGAGGGACAGAGACAATCCAGAGGGGGAAGGGGAGGTGTGTAATGTTCATCTTAAAGTTCTTTAATTGAACAGTAAAGTTGATAGAAATGACTGGATATTAAAGATATCAAAAGCACTTCACCAAAACATTCTAGATTATATCATCAAAAAAGTAAAAAAGTAGCCATTTTTGTTTAAAGGGAGAAACAGAACATCTGAGAAAAACTGGGAGTTGGACCAAAAGGATAATGATGAAAATAAACCCCCAGAAAGTGGACGAGGAAGAGGGATTCGTGATGACAGATCTGCAGATCGAAAACCATCTGGAGGAAGAGGTAGTTATGATATACAGTTATAGAATATTATGATTGTTTCCCATTTATACAAATCAGCATACAAATGTGACAATGTAACAGCATTAACTAAATATATTCAGCAAAAATTGTAAATTGCTATTTGTTGTTGTAGGAGGACTATCAAGACGAGGAAGAGGAGGAAGCAGAGGGTAATTATTTAATACGATACATTTTATTAATTCATCCCAATTGGGTTTTTAGAATTAATTTACAAAAATTTTTTAATGTATACGACATGGAAAAATTTCATCATTTAAAATGTATATAGTTTGTTAGTAATAATAAATAATATCGTATTAAAATGTGTTTCAAAAGCTTATTTCTCAAGATATTTGAGAAAATGGATCCCAATTTGTGACATCATTTTGTTTACACATATTCTAGATTCGGTATAAATTGTAATTTATATAAAATAACAACAAAAGGCATATTCTATTCAGTTTCATTTGATAGCTTACGTAGTACTCTTCAAATGTTGGGAAACTGAAAAGTGTACTACCTGAAATTAAGATTCTACATTCAAACATATTTCATGTATTTTCAACTAAATCTGGAGACTTGTAAACAAAATGACATCACAATTTGTGCTAAATTTTCTTGAATTTCTAGAGAATGCATTTTTTAAACAAATAAATTACACATTTTTAACATTAAAATTTTTTGTTTCGTATGCACTTTAAACCCACCCTAAAACCATGTAATATCTTCGCTATGGGACCTAATTAGACTGTGTTACAAGATACGATAAATGTTTGGATGATTAGCTTGCTAATAGTTATGATCATGACTTTACACCTTACTCTAGACGTTCATCATCAAGAGGAAGGGGAGGAAAAATAGGGAGGAATGGTATTTCATCTACTCAGCCAATGAATAATGGACCTACAGAAAATGGTTAGTTCACTGTTTTTGTGTTTTTTGTTTTGTTTTTGTTTTTGTTTTTGTTTTCTGATAACAACAAACTTTATTTAACATGAAAACAATAACTTATTTTTTGTATTCCAGGCACAGAAATGTGGGACATTCCTGATCCAAATGATGATAAAAACAAAACTGAATGTAAGTTGAAAATGTTTTACCCTTTTAAAAGAACATTCTGATTATTATTAAATAGTTGTATTTGCATTTAGATTACATCAAGTGGCTTTTCATCTTCTTTTCTCCATAAACATCTGGTATATTCTAATATAATGTTTTCATTTTAGCCTGGGAAGATTCTGCAAAACCTTCAGACAACTGGGGTACAGAGGATTATATACACCTCCCTTCTGCTACCGTCAAAGAGGTACAGTAATATGCTGCTTTTTTGGGTGAGGTATGTTTACCAACTAACACGGTTATGTTTCCTACAGCCAGTTGCTCCTGTTAGTATGTCTTCACTGTTCAGCTCATCAGTGCAGCAGTCCAATAATTGGAGCAATAATGATGCTAAAGAGGTGTCATCTTGGGGTAACAGTGATTCAGACTCTGCTACTGTTACAGGCAATAATGGTCCATTAGTGAGAACCACAAGAGAACAGTCTACAGAGAACACACCCTTTGCACCTGAAAGGTATGATAAAAACTGTGATTAATTATCTTTGACTTGTAAGTCTTTTTTTTCCTGAGATAATGACTTTATTGTATTTAACCATATGATGTTTCATTAATTGTTTTACAATTTGCAACCTGTAGTGTGGATATGGCAATAATCCATTCCAAAATTGCTCAGAGTCCATCAAGAACAAGTGAACAGTCCCAGAGTAATACCGATATGCCTATGATTCGTATTCCATTACCTGCTGTCAACCACAATCATCTCGGACCAATTAGTAAGCTGTTGGATAATGTATCTGCTGCTAGCCTGCCCCAACAACCTATGTCATCTGTATCACATGTGACTTCAGCCCAGCCACAAAGACAGTCTAAACAGAACAGAACAAGGAAGTCACAAAAGTCTCAGGTACTACACTCCATAAAATGATAATTATACAGTAAGGGATGGGACTGTTTTGTACCAATGACCTCCAATAAAACTGAGTAATGGTTCAAAGTACTTCTCTATGACAAAACATACATGTATTTMATGTAGAGCATCTTGTGTGAAATACAACAAATGTGACACCCTCTTTTTATTGCAGTTTTTAAATGTCCATTACATTATATGGGTGTTCATGCAAAGTTTCAAAACAAAATTATTGGCAAAATTTCTTTTAATTGATATCAAATTACCTTAACCTGAAAAGAATAGCATGCAGTCCAAATTGAGTAATAATAGTGAGCAGATCTGTTGTATGTATGGACTTATTATAAGATATTTATACTTTCTGTTTGGCTATAGATTCCTCAGAAGCCAGTGGAAATGCCAGATTCTATGATGGATGAGCTTGATGTCCAGGTAAGAATGTTTCTTTTTTACCTCTATACCAGTATTTTACTTCAAACAAATCTTTAATCATAAAACTTTGTTTCAGTTTGGCAATCTTGAATTTGGTGGAGATTTTGGTGGAAGCCCAGGAAAAGGACAGTCCAAGGTGAGTTAAACAAATTTACTTAAGAACTTAACATCGTAGCAGGTCGTTGTTATGCTAATTTGTTATTATCATCTCCGATTCCACAGGAAAGTGCAGTCACTTTTAGCAGTGAGGAGCATCTTGTCTCAAAGCAAAAGTAAGACCYTGTAGTAATAGTAAAATAGTTGTATAACTAAAATTTAATTTAAGACATTAAATGATGAAACTGTAATCTCTTCTTCAGTGATTTGCAAGTGAGCAGACCCATTGAAGCGGAAAGCATTTCAAACCTGCCATCCACATTGTCAAGAAGTGTTCCAATCACAATTGCCTCAACTACATCTGCCACTTCAAGTCTAACCAGCTTGGAAGACAGTTCCCCCAGACATTACCAGCATGCATCACCACGGGAACGTAAATCACAAGTAAGTCCTTAATGGTGTTGCAAATMATTTCTTGCTTTTAAAAATAATTATTGGATTGTTGACTTAATGTTTGCCTTGTATACTTAYGTTGATGATAACGTTGGTACACTGTATTTTGAAATTTTTTCATCTCAATTCATTAAAGATGAAAGCTGAGCAAATTGCATTTCTTAAACAGCCAAGGGATTTATCAGAAGATACTCTTCCAGCACAAGTACCCGACAGGTCTAGAACACCTCCAGCTGTTTCAGCCAGTAATGATAATTCTTCTCTTGGTGCAGTAACACGCAGCCTACCCATCTCATCAGCTACTTTACAGTCTCAACTTGTTTCAAGTCTTCCTAAGGAATCTGCTTTGGATTCAAGAGTGTACCAAGTCAATCAAGTAATAATAGTACTTACAGTCCAAACAGCTTACAGCTATTTTCATAAACATGCAAATTTGGTTTTCTGCTGCCATCAATGAAACCTTATCAGTCAGTAACTTTCATATTTTTGACTGGCAGCAGCGAGAAAGCAAATTTCATCGTGCAACTCAGAGCACCAGGGGCGCATGTTTATGAAAATAGCTGTAAGCATGCTACCTAGAATAGCCTCAATTGATGATTTCATTATTTGAATATGGAGTTAATTATTCACTTTGGGTTTTCATTAATAAATTTGAAGTCTCCAAACTTCACAATAATCATGAGTAAAACTCTAAGTGGTCAACTATTGAACTTCATAGTGGCCTTTCTGGGGAGTTTTTCCACTTTCAAATGACATATTCAATGAATGGAATAAACACACAAGAAGATAATTCATCTTTAAGTTTGAATCCTTATTTGTATAATGGAACATCAGATTATATGATTAAGTTAATATTTGAATACTAGAATCATGAATGGATTCTAGGGTGTATGCTTTGAATGTATTTCTTAGATGTTATTGACACCTTACTTGTTTTCGTAATGAATGTTTGTTTTTCTTTGTGAAGCATGTTTCTAGCCAGCCCTTGTCAAGTAAGGATAAGTTATCATCAAGTAATCTTGCTCATCATAGCACCCTAGGAGGGTCAACAATGGTAACATCATCTCAGAGAAGTGAGAGCAGTAGTTCACACACCATACAACCACCCCCTGGAGTTGGAGTACCGCACAGTACCACACAACAAGCTACATCTTCTTTGGGTCTGTCTACTGCTACAGTATCTAGCTCTAATAGACCTGCACAGCATTCTGGTATGTTAAAAAACACTGTCCATTGTGCGAGCATCAAGTACTGGTATTTATCATTGTTATATGTCTTCATAGGTAAGCCATCTTTACCCCCTGGTGTTCTTCCAATGAGTACACTGTATGGGATTCAACAGCCAGGCATGATGCCTGCTTATTCTATGCCTTTYAACTATGAGGAATTACAGCGACAAATGCAGATGGCTGCTTACTATGACATGATGCAGGCACAAGCTCCTTTACAAGGTAGAGATAACCTTCAAGGGACATATCAAGCTGATCAGCAGAAATTTGGTCGCAGTGATGCATCTTCCCCTGTGCAGACAACAATGAATCAAGCTAATCAAGGACAGCATCACCTACAGCAACAGCAACAAGCATATCTGAATACTGGTACTATGCCACCTTATGGATATGGTGGTCTTGCTTTTTATCCTGGTGGGGTTATGCCTGGTGGATTCCCAACATACTCTGGTCCTCAAATGTACCAGGTAATTTAAAAAAAATTATGTCATTAGTTATTAGCTCAAGCCTATGCCACTTGACCAAATAGGAATATGGATAAAAAACACTGAAGAGGTTAAATATTTGTTCTGAAGAAATGTTTCTGCTACTAATGASATAATAGTTGCAAGCAACAACCCATTAAATGTACATCTCTTTGGGTTTGATCAAAGACAAACAAAGTAGTTATGATTAGTAGGTCACAATTTTGAAAATATTAAGGCATTAAAACTTTTTGTTCAACACCATCCACTCACTCTCCAGTGAAGGGTCTGAGTTGGTTGACAACATTATTTAAATTGAACAGACTTTACATATCACATTCAATGACATAGCTGTGTCAATGATGTTAAAACCATAGATTTGCCTCTATTTTTATTTATTTATTTATTTGTCCTTTCACAGCAAATGGCTCCCAAAACTCATGGTAATGTATCACAGTACCAGCCTGCATATGGTAGTCAACATGGCAATCATCATTACTCTTCAGGTGTGTGTCTGCCTACCATGCATCTTCCTGGTATTTGCCAGTATTACTGTATAATATCATAATTAAGGGGGGTTTAGCATATTTGGTTACTAGGTTACCACCATTGCTATGTRGATTCTATATCATATGTTTTTGGACTGTGTTTAGTATTCTTTCRATTGTTCAAATATTGTTAAGCCTTTTTGACAAGATTTTTCTTGTTCAATGGTGTAATCACGACGTCATACAATCATGTCATTTACCTCAAACCAATTTATGACTTTTAATTATTTCCCCATAATTTCTTACTTTTCTATTTTGGAAGTTTTGTGAACTGGTAAATTTTCCACCACAATGGTCTTGTTAAATATGTTATTCACGTAAATGTCTTTGTCAATTCAGGTTATGATGATCTAAATGTTGGACATGACTTTGGTAAATCTCCCTATCATTCTGTCTCTCAGACTCAAAGTAAATCAACCTCAGGTAAAGTGTTAATTACAATTTTAAATGGTATGGCTATTGCAATCAACTCACGCTGTACAGTACAGTCTTGATAAGTGGTTGGAGAAATTTTTGTAAATGCTAAGTAAGGTGATGGCAWGTGGTCAGTAAGTCGTTTGTAAGGTCTTGGTACATGGTTGGTAAGGTGTTAGTAAGTGGTTGGTAATGAAACAGTAAGTGGAAGGTAACTGATTGGAAAGGTGTTGGTAATATTGATCTGTGAGGTATTGGTTATTGATCTGTAAGGTCTTGGTAAACATTGCTAACATAGCAGTAAGGTATCATTAAGATGCATACCTATGACAGTGTTACTAACAGYGTAACAGCAATTTTTACACAAGTGAAAACCCTTATTTCAATAAACATGTTTTCTTTTAGTTGTTAGTACTTCAACAGACCTTGGAGGAGGATCATCATACAAGACACAAATTGGGAAGGTATGAACCAAAAAACTATATGGTGTAGTTATGTCTTCATTGAAGAACATAAAAAACTTGTATATGCTTTGTGCAGTTATAAAGCATCATTATTAGGAGAGGCATGTGTAACAGAGTGCTTCTCAACACTTCATGAGTGTTCTGCCAATCCCCAAGTGAAAGTTTTTTATTTCTTTATAATGCTTATCACAAAAAAGATGTCTTGGATAGGAATGATGCAACTAAAAGTGTGCATGCATGCTGTGTGCTCCCATGAACCACCAAACTAATTAGAATACAAGATTTCTAACTGTTCTTTAATGTCTTATATTCAACAGTAYGGCGAAAGCAAAGGGTTTTTAGGAGGTACTCCACCACCAGCTCTAAACCTATCAGTACAAGGACAGCACAGTCATCTTGGTAACTTCCCAGGACACACCACCCCATTTATGTCTATGTTACCCACCCAACAACAACACCCACATTCATTATTTCATCACCACCCAGTACCTCACCAGGATGTTGGACAGACTGGCATGTCACAAAGAGGACAGCAAAGTCAACTCTCCAAACAATCCCAAAATAAGGGTGGACATCAGGGTTCTTATCCAGGGCCGTTCTGGTCTAATGCTAACAAGTCTTAACAAACTCCATGGCATGGAGTCTCCACAGAGTGATTGTATAGGCACCTAGGAGTGTGTTRCAAGTAGTATTAAAGAGAAAGGCAACAGATATGATAATGCTTATGATAGTATACAACAAGCCCTTTCATGTGTTTTTGTCTTCCTTCCCTTGGGTTTCAATCAAAAAWATATATTGCTTTATGAGTTCAGGATGTAAATGATGTCAAAGTGTACAGACTATGCCTTGTGACAGCATGTAAATGTTTTGCTATTGTAATTTAATATTTCAGTCTTTAGCTTATAGAAATCAAGTTTTACACCATATCCTTTCAATAAATGAAGAATGATTTACTTGTGGTTATATTGTTTTTGTTTTCGTACATTAMCTACTCATAATTCTGGGTGAAGTACTACTCTGTATAAGCAGATATTTTCAATGTGTTTACAACATTCATGAGAATGAATACATCCAATGAACCAAAATATGGACTATCTATTTACACAGTATTTACATAGTATTGAGTAAGATCTTTTTTCATGCATGGCAATGTCTGTATGACTGCTCTTCTTGCTGTTTTTCATTCTTTGAATTGCCATTCTTGACGACACATTGGRCATAATTGTTGATGTAGTTGAGAATTGAGCCATTTTAAGATGCAGTGCATATGGAACACATGGGAACACTTACCCCACACTATGAGAAGATAAAATTATGTTAACAAACTGTTATCTTGCATGGACCTTTCTGTAGTTTAAAGGAAGATGGGTGCAGAGAAGTGTGGGGCTGAATGTTCAGACATGAGGTGTTTGGTCATAAGGTTCTGTTATTTTATTTATTTTTGTTTTGTATATAGGGCTAACTTCAAGGTCCACCTTTTCAAACATTGTCATGTATTATTTAAATAAAGTATTATTTTAAGATAGGCCATGAGAAGTTTGGACAGAAGGTGTTCAGATTAAAAGGTCCTGTCCCAGTCTAGCCATCATGTTCCATGTAGCGCCCATCTAAACATCAACAAGGCAAATAGAACATCCGTACTATGTTATGTAACGTTGTAATGTTGCATYGCCAAATAGGTCGTAGTGTGCTTTTTGTTAATCGTTGAACAAGGTGTACTAGTTATTATGTAATAGTTGTATGAATACAAAGAATTGCCCTATTTCACTATAACGYCACATCAAAACAATCTATTGTTTAAACGCAAAGGATCATGGTCGTCGGAGGGGGTCAAATCAACGTAAAGTCACCGAAAATTATTCTAAAACCTGTATCAATCCACGAAAAGAAGTAGAATAGCCACAAACGCTCAGAATAATTTTTAGTACATATTAGAACATTATATCTGAAAACCAGGCCATTTTAGATTAAACTGTTTCGCTAGGAGCAAATTTTRTTGAGTTTTCTATTGGATTTGGTGATTCCACATAAACAAGCTGTGATGTCATAGTGAAATAGGGCAATTTTTAGAGTCATATGTATATATAGTGTCCGGCCCTCAGTCATTTTTAGTGTCATCAAGCAACACTCACTCCCAACTTAGTTCTTGTCGTTAYGCAAAGCCTCCTCCCCAACTTAGTGGGGAGTGAGCGACGACAAAAATGGCTGTGGGGAGGAGACTATCAAGTGTATAGTACTAAATAAGCTTAAGTGTTTTTCATGGCTTTTATGTAAACCAATCTATGTGCAAACTAATAGGTCAGTTATTGAGACTGTTCTCAATCCCCCTTCTATCCAAGGTGAAAGACATGAAGACCTAATTTATTGGTTGTCCATCGATCCCTTGTGCAAAAAAGACTGTTATTCAAACCTACCTAGTGGACAGTCATCTCCAGGGATCTTGCAATCTGGACAGCAACCATCGAAAGCCATTCGACAAATACCACAGCTGTCATCATTAGCAACCCATCGCCAAGTGGCTACGCCAACCCATCTGAAATAGAAGGTAAAACAAATCATGAGATTTAATTAAGCCTTACRATATATAAAGACGTTTGATGGTCGAGTATCAATCCACTTACCCTAATAATAAAGTCGTCCAACCAAGAGATAAAGGGAAAATTGGTTAAAATGAAATAACTCATTAAAATAATGACATAAAGTTATTATGAAACGTTTTACGTATATGGAACTGTATTAATCCCTTACGTTTTATTTTGACTTTCATCCCAAACTAAAAGTTTTCAACACGATCGAAAATGGCGCWGCTTTTAGCCCAGTCCTCCTTCCTACCACACAGGAAGCCCAACATAACACATGGTTGAAATATCTAAACTAAATGAAGACTAGTAAAATCAACAAATTTCTCTGTTACTCCTAYATAGCAATATTTTAATAATTTCAAWTGTTATGTTTCAAATGTTTCAAGTCTTCAAAATATGAAAAAAGCTTTTATCGAGTTTAGCTAGCCTTGGATTACCTGTGGTTTATGTTCAAGGAATGCCTGCCTGTTTCCGTGTTCTCTGTAATATAGTGATGCAATGATGATGTTGAGAAGTACGAAGAATTGGTACATAAAAAATAACGCTGGCTTGAGAGCCATTTACACAGCTATGTGTAGGAAAAGTTACTTAAATAACAATATTAAAAAAATATCTATAAAATACAGTCAACAAAATGTTAAGGTTTGTAAGAATTTAAACTCTGGAAAATTGCATATCTCACATTTTCATCGCCCTGTTAACATTGTTTTTTTTTTGTTTTCAGAACATCGCTAGTTTTCAGTCAATAGTATCATTTACTAGAAGTCTTACAGGGTATTAAGAGATTATCAAACTTTCACCCTGTATCAGTCTACCTTTTTAGCCTTATATCTAACTTTATCTATTGTGTTTTAAGTTTCCAGAATGTCTTGTCTTTTCACAACGTCACAGATGAAACACTTGAAGGTTTATCAGACTTTTTCGATGATCTGAGTGATCATTATATCTTACCGTCCCTTGATGACTATGATGTACAGTTTGGGGTAATAGTATACTATACTTATATATCAATGCCCTATGTATTAGACCATCTGCATGACCAATCCTAATCAAATTATCAACTAGTGATTTGATGATTTAAAACTTTTCATTGCAGGATGGAGTTCTAACAGTCAAGTTTGGAGGTATAGAATGAAGCTTTTTTTTTGAACATTTTAGGAGCAAGTTGACAAGGGCACTGCCTGTTACCACTGATTTTATTGCTACACACCCATGACCAAAAGAAGTCAAGACTTTGATGCTAGCAATAATCTTCTGTCAATCAATTATCAAACATGCTGATTGCAGCTTTTTTAATGTTTGAAAACCAAGTGCAAAGTACAAAATGCAAGGTGGTGCATAGTTATGAAATTGATGGTCAGCAAGAAGTCCATAGTTTGATTCCTGTGATCTAACCCACTTTTTTTAATGTAGTCTCTTTAATCCATGTAGCTTCAGCTATGAATTTATATTCTTAAAACAGAGCATTGATGGGGAGAGACGGAGTAGCTCCCTGTAAGATTAGCTTATAGCGGAGGCAACACTGATATCAAATAACTAAGGCCTTTGCCTTTACTTAAAGAAAGTCAGTAACAAAACATATTTTCTTTCATGTGTCAGGAGAAGTTGGTACTTATGTTATTAACAAACAAACTCCAAACCAACAAATTTGGCTGTCATCTCCCAAAAGGTAGGGAAAGACAGGTTTCAAATTTTTAATTTTTGAGCAACAATTATACAATTATAAAGGAAATTATTTTTTTCATACAAATATTATATGGCAATATGCACTATTTAACTCTGGTTTTTACCAACAGTGGGCCTAAAAGATATGATTTTGTTGGTAATAAATGGGTTTACAAGCGTGACCAGGTATCTCTCCATGAACTGTTGTCCAGAGAAATGTCCAACATTACAGGCCAAGATGTAGATCTTACACATCTTCCATATGGCGGGATGACATCAACTAAAGACTAATTTGTCATTATTTTAATTAATCAATTGACAAAGACCATTAAGCAATGACTGTCTATTTTATATTTTATCTTTATGTATGGATAACATAGTTGTAGCTGATGTTGGAGTGCAATAAACAAAGTTCTATCATTTTTGCACATTAGTTCATCATTACTTTGTTTCACATTTCTTGAATAAAGAAGAGTTTTTATGACCATACATATCATCTTCAAAAGGATCATAGCCTTGTTGTCTTGCTTTTTTCAATGGATCAAAAAGTGGAGATGGAAAAGTACTGGAATGCCATTCACACCAACCCCATCCTGTGAGAAATACCTGATATTATTTATATTATAAAAATAGTGTCTTGGAATAGCTATTTCTAGTTTTCAAAAAAGTTTATCAGGTCACTCCCCTAAAATGGTTAAATGAAACAAAACCAACAAATACCTTCACATTTTTCTGGTTCTTTGTTCATAGGTTCTGTTACTTGACTCTTTCTATCCACCTCAGCCTTCATAAATATTGTTATATAGTGGTAATCCTCTTCCTTCAAAACTGAGTTAACCACTGTACCAAATGATATGTTTGTGATACATAATCCAGTTTCTTCTAATGTTTCTCGTGATGCACAATCATGCCATTCTTCACTATTCAAAGGAAAGAGAAAAATTAATATTAATCCCTGCCTTTTAGTGATTTATTGCTCTTAGAGTTCCTGCAATAAACCCATGATAATATATCAATATTTGGCATTAAATGCTACTAAGGAACGGTTCATTATTTTATCAGGGAAAGTGGTGGGGATATTTTTGGGGGGAGGGGGTCATTAAACATATGTGGATCAACAGTGGGTGAAATTTTTCTTTTGTATTCCTTTCTCGCTAAATCACTAATGTTCTAATATCGTATGACAGAGAGGGATCAGATTTCTTGCCAAGCGAATCTAACTGCCCTTTCCTCCTGATAAATGATGAATGGTGCTCAATTATACCTGAATTCTAAATGTCCTCCAGGTAGACCATATGTTCCACTACCCGATGATCCTTTCCTTTTACCAATCAGGACACATCCTGGATGATCAGGACTAGTTATAAATACCCCAACACCGACCCCAACCCTTAATGTGTGTTCCTTCTTGTTCATTTTATTTACCGCGAATATTGCGCCAAAACTTGTGGTGCCCAGTATCTTCTCTATATCAGTGAAGAGTAAGAATGAGTTCCACTTGGTTACGAAAGGAACGCCTGTAAGTTGTCAAGAAACGGACAAGAACAAAAAACAGCTGAAAAACTCGTAGGAAAATACGTGTTTATTCGTAATTCCTAGCGAGAAAATATACTTATTTTCTTTAATCGAAAATGCCACTTCTTGTAAAGGATTATTTGTGGGAAGAAACAGACTTATCAGTGATCATCACTGTACCACTAAAAGGAGCTCAATTCAACAAGCTCGACATCTTCTCCACTGAAGAATATATAAAGGTAACATCGATTAATATGTTCATTTATATTTTTCAATCGTTCATAATAATCATGTCCTTGGTTTTAGGTCAGCTATCCTCCATACTTGTTCGAGTGTTTCTTGTTTGCTCCAGTAGAAGATGTGAAGGGAAAAGCGACTGTTGGTAATGGAGCCGTGGTATTTAGTCTCATTAAGAAAGAAGCAGGAATATGGAGTAGTTTGCAAGCACCTCAAGCCGAAGATAAGGAATTCAAGAAAAGAAAAAGAGATGAAGCCATACAGATGGCACACGAAAGAGCTCTGGAAATAGCAAGAATCAAAGAAAATGAAAAGAGAGAACAAGAAAGATATGCTTTAAAGCAACAGATGAAGGTATTGACATGATACACAAACAATAATTCTTGGCTGTACGTTTTCAATTAATTTGTTTTTAATATTAAATTAGATAGAGGAAGATGAAAGAAATAGAGTTGAAGCAGTTAAAGAGCAAGAAAGAAAAAAAGCAGCAAAAGCTATTGAAAAGTTGAACAAGCCTTACCAAAAGTCTGTAAAAGCATCATTAAAAGGTCTTGATAGTGATGATGATGAAAATGACAATGACAATGACTATAAAATCATCAGCATGGAAGAGACAGAAGGCAGAGAAACCAAAGAAAGTATCAAAGACAATACAATTTTAAATAAAAACATCAGCAAAAGCAGTCGTAATTCAAATTTATCTTCTCATTCAATATTAACTTCACCCACATCAACAACAAAGAAATATCAGCCACCTAAAGGTAATCTACGATTATACCAAAGTGATTTTTTTAAAAAGGATTTTATAGCATATGTTTTTCCTTATTTCTAATGCATCAATTTTCAGGCAGTAAGGAAGAACTTTTTGAACCTTTGCCAGCACCAAGGGAAGCAGGTTGTATTCAAGTGTCATTTACTCCAAGATCATTCAAAACTGCTGCCAGAGAATCAAAGGCTCCTGAAGAAGAAGAGGTATTTCATGGACTGGATTTAGGTCCTGATAGGAGTTGAGAAGGTCAAAACTTTTATTCTTTCTCTTTGGATAGTGGTTAAAGAAGGTTGCAGAAGCCAGTCGCAACAAAAAATCACTGAAAGACAACCCAGATGCAGTGGATATGGAAGAAATGAATCCTCTTTGGCTGAAGGAAAAGGGAATGTAAGTAGTTAAAAATACCATTAACAGATCTTTTCTCAGTTGAGTAATTTTCATGGTTATTTTTACTCTCTTTCAGAGGATTTTATAAGGCAGAAAACTATGTTGCAGCAATTAATGCTTTTACTGCAGCTATCGTTCTAGATGGAAACATACCTTCGTATCCTTATGTAACTAATAAGCACGCAAGTGACATTATGAGAAACTTGAATGCTATGCAACATGCATTTTACCATTTTTGCCCATAATAAAGCTTAATGGCATTAAATTGCAGGTTTCATATTTATTTTACTGGGAAATTTATTCTTATCAAAACCAAATACCACCACCAAAATCATCCAAATTGAAATAAAATCCTCCTTAATTTAATTCAATCTAATAAACCCTTAACACATCATTAGTTTGTATTCTAATCGTGCTGCTTGTCATCTGCACATGAAGCAGTATAGAGAGTGTATACAAGACTGTACTTGTGTGAGTAATCAGAATTGAGTTTGCAATAGAGTGATTTTACTTAATCCTTGAAAGAAAAATTACCTGGAAATAAGATCTATGTAATGTTTAATAAACGAGCAGGAGTGTTTTATCGGGTATAAAACACGAGGCGCAGCCGAGTGGTTTTAGACCCGATAAAACACGATCTGCGAGATTATTGAACGGCTTAGAAAACTTATGATGTTTGTTCTCATTGTGTACCGATTTTTTTACGAAATGAACCAAGTTTGATAGAGAAAATCCAAGTTAAAGTTTATGCAAATGAAGACGAATCTTTATCAGATATAAAATCACCTTCATGGTCATGATTTCTATTGTTTTCTTCATGAATTATTAATGAGTTTTCTAATAATAATTATTGACTGTTTCACAAGTAAAACCACTCTATACATACATGTATAGTGGATTATATAGTCCAATATACCTAATGCAAAAAATAGTGCAAAATCTATTGTATAAATTGCACTATTTAGCAGTAATTCACTATTTAGCAGTCCTTTTTCATGGGTTCATCTTTTAACAGGCTCTGGACCTACTAACTCCACCAGTACAAGCCAATGCATCCTCTAGATGTAAAGCATACATAAGGAGGGGAACAGCATTTTTTCATTTCAATGAGTATGCTGAAGGTAAATTTTAAAATGTATAAAAGCAAATAAATACACAAAAGATGTTTCAAAATAATGAATCTAAAACAATATACAGTGCATATTAGAGTAAAGTCACTAGAGTGATAAACCTATGGCAACAAACTTCGGAACTTCAGAATGAAATTCCAGCGTGCTCTTTGAAATTCCTAACATCTTGAATTCAGAAACTCGTAGGAAATACTTTTCAAGTTTAATTTCCAAGTTATCACAATACAAGATATTTATCTTTTTGACCTGTTTTGATGAGTTATGGAACATTTGAGGTTTTTTAAGATACAATTTCAGCAACATTTTGAAATAAAGATGTAAACAGTTCACGGTTCACTAAACTTTGTTCACTTGAAGTTCCGAAATTTGTTGACAAGTTGGGAACTTCCAAACGAACTTCCCAACCCGCCGCGGTAAAGTAATGTGAAATGCACTGTAACGCATAATGTGTTATAGCAGTTATTAGCGGTACAATATTAAAGTATTCAGTGAACGTTTGACTGTTTTATCACTTTGATTATTTCGCTAACATTCACTTCACAGGTTTATGAAAATCACTCTACACTCATGAATAGATAATATCATTGGTAGACCCTAATTCCATTGGTTTCTTTTGTGTCTATTTGACTAATGCACGTAGACGGACCTTTTTTATTTCACAGGTTAAATGCCTTCACTCATACTGTTAAGTCCTAATTTACATAATCTCTTTATTGTATTGGAATTTCAGCCCTTCGAGATTATGAAGAAGGACTCAAACTTGATCCCAAAAATGAAAGCTTGACAGCAGATGCTAAAAGAATATGTAGTATTATTCAAGGAACACCAATAAAATGAATCAACCAGTCAGTCATCAATTTCTTTAATATTGTCAAAATTACGTACATTTCAAAGGTTTAGAAATAAACAAGGGACCCTTTTTCCCTAAGGATTACTTTGATCCTTTATTTGAACTCTAATCTATGAAATAGTTTACATGTTTTAGTATCAATAAAATGAATAACATAAAACTTTGTGTTGCTTAACTGAGTAAAAACATGCTGTTAAACAGGTATCTAACTATGTATCTATTGAAACCTCTAACTGATTTGAGTACTAATTGAATAAACAATTACCATCGTAAGTATGAACAGTGTAATCTCTACAAAATAATCTTATGTTTGTCTACTAGTTACAAGGGGAAAACATACATAATGTATATATATATTGTTAATGTAGGCCTTTCTACAGTGGTTCATTCAGTACATGTCAAAAAATCCCATTAGAACTTCTTTCCTGAAAACTGTCGAACACTGAAAATTGAGCACACATAAGATTAGTAAATGAGAAGGAGACTTAGCAAGTTAACATTATCGAGTTACCTTTGTTGCAGCAAGTATTGTGCATAATTGATTTCATCTTGTGTGCCAGTGATGGTTATAATTCTATCATCAGCTCCAGGCAATGGGTCATCTATCTTTATCGTGGCTCTGCATTTGTTTCTGTGGTTCATGATTTAGGGTTTTCAAATGTTAATAGTGTTACAGTATGTGATTTGATACTGATGTGAAGTGATACAAGTGGCTTTACATAATTATAATACCTGATGCTTCTTATTCTCTCTCCTCCTTTTCCAATAATAGAACCAGCAAGCTAAAAACAACAAATAACCGTTATGCCAGAATATACAGTAATTCAATAAACCTTGTCACTGACCAGCTTCAACCTATGTGAATGGGCCTAAATGGAGTAGAAATCACTGTTAACCTGAGGCATATCTAATTTGATATTCAGTCTAACAATGCTTTCTTTCGGTCCAGCCTAGGCTTATGGCAATAGCAACTTTTTTAAATGGACTTTATGCTTTAAGGTCTTCATTTAAGTAGTAGAATGGAATGATATATTTGAATTTGCTTTTAAACACCGAATCAATAGGTTTGATTCCATGAGATAGAAGTACATAATAAATAATAATGCGATTAACAGTTGTAAACACAGAGTGGCTCTTCTTCCACTGGATTCCAATTGGAATTTAGAATTTGTTTTTAGCGGAGGGAGGAAAGCCTGAGAACCCAGAAAACCTGGAAAACCCTGGAAGCACAGGAGAGAACCAACAAGCAACTCTACTCACAACACCGAGCTCAATGGGACTCTCACCCGGGTCGCATTGGTGAGAGGCAAGCACTCTCACCGCTACACCACCCATGATTCCCAAATAATATGAATAGGTTGTAAAAGCCTTACATCTTTAGGGATAGTAACTTGTGTTGATGTAGTGGGCTGATCTCCTGACCCTTGACCTTGATTCCATTGATTCATCCCTCCTAAATGAAACAAGAATATGTTGAAAAATACCAAGTATAAGAAATATATGAAAACAATGGTATGAGCCAAGTTATTACCTCCAAAGTTTGAGCCTTCATTAAATCCTCCCTAAAAAAGAAATAAAATAAAAATATTAAGCTATTTTGAGAGAGAAAATTTTATAAACAGAAATCAAGTAAACTTACAATGTCCTGTGAGAAATCGCCACTGCCACCAAACATGCCTCCTTGTCCACCTCCTGCACTGAATCCTCCTCTTCCTCCTCTTCCTCCTCTACCACTTCTATTCATTGAGCCTCTACCACCTCCTCTTGAACCACCTCGAACATTTCTACCTTGGCCTCCACGGCCACCCATAGCTCCACCCCGTCCATCTGGTCCATCATATCCATAGCCCCAGTCATCATATCCACCCTGCATCGATGGATCATACAGAATGACCTGTCCTTTAAGTGGAGTCTAAAACAATCAGAAAAAATAAAATAAAAGTAAATATTCCCATTCATCTATAGTTTATTCAATCACTATGCCAAGTACAATAAAAATATATTCCTACCGATTCCAGAGTCTCATAAATAATCTCTACACATTTAACAACTGTGTCTATGGTCCCTGTGAAAACAAAAACAATTTATACAACACAAAACATAATATTGTATATTATGCAGCCATTCACCATCTAAGCCAAGTGAAGGGACCAAGAATTTTAATCACTACACTGTGGGATTAATGGGTAGGAAAAAATATGTTTAAAATGGCATGTCTAAAAATCAGTTTACTGAGCAGTTTACCATGGATATTGTAAGGTAATTGATTGACATTTAGCACTGACTGGCATAGCCTCCTACACAGATGTTCTTTGGTTCTATCCCCACAAAAATGTCTGCTTACTTCAGCAGAACATCACATTCCAATGGTTATCATAGGTCAATCAAAATTGGCTTACATGTATTGTTTGTTGAGGATCCAATCAAAAACCTTGATAGAAATACCAACACCAAAGGATTGTGGCATTCTGTTAAATTTTATTGCTATATTTCCAGAAAAGGTCACGACAATATGATTCTTGGATTCTCTTATATTTAAAAGACTGAAACTTAGTGGCAGGTTTTGATAAATGAGCGTCTTATTGTAACAAGTGGGAAGGTTTACAAAAATGTATTGTATCTGATTCATGGAAACTTCAATTGCTTGTTTCTGATAAGAACTTAAATCGTTAATTTTAAAAGATTCTCAAAGTCAGTCTAGATTGACCAATCAGCATTAACCTTGACAATTATTTTAAAATGTTCATGTTGAATGACAGGCAGGCAGATGTTTGTGGCGATGGAAATGTTGAATGAGCGACCATAAGAACTTCTGCGTAGGAGGCTATGACTTGCTCAGCAAAACATGTTTCACACCTAAAAATGCTTGATAACATTCTGTGTATACTTATCATCATCAATTTTACCTGTGATTGCCACAACCCTTTCGGTTGAGTTTGGAAGGCAATCTGAGAAAACCTTGATGTTGGCTCCTGATTGCTGTGGATCAATAAGAGTAAATGATAAATATGCCTATCATTAGACCTATTTACTGTTTGTAAAAATAACAGAAACATTTGTAATTATGTCCAGTTAGCTATTAGTTAGTATAGCTTGCACCTTATTATGACGAAATGCATTATTGAAACATTTTCATTGTCCTAGACTCATGGTCTATTGCTGGTTTTTAATTATTCCCAAGGGGGTGAAATAACAGAAGATGCCGTGGCCATATTTATGACAAAAGAATTTATTGAAAATTCTTTTGTTAAATTCAACCAAGATGGCAACTATAACGTGATGTGCAAACAAAGAATTATCAAAATTCTCAAGGTACAGTATTCTTTTATAACCTTTAGTGATTATACATATATTTTTCTCTCTCTCTCTTTTTTTTGCATTTTTTGTAGTTTCTCTTGCATTAAGGGCCATGCCCATAAGTTTGGAAAGCCAGAATAAACCATCATTATTATTATAATATCATGCTTGGCAACACTCACTTCACGTATTTCTTTGATTTTGTATCCTGCTCTACCAATAATACTTCCCACTTGAGATCGTTGAACAAGAAGTTGTATATCATGTGTTGGGTTACCACCACCACGGGAATGCTGTAACATAAACAGATCATATCAACACTATTCAAGATACTAGAGGTAGGTGTGTTGTCAACAAAGCAGTAGTTTTATCCTCTGTCATCTTTAATGTAGCTCTTGTCACATAAATTGAGTTTGCTTGTTGCCTTGTTCTCTCCTATACTAAGAAGGTTTTCTCACGAGTTTTCCGGAATCATCCCTCCATCAAAATTAATGTGGGAGTTGAGCGTCGTGTGCATATAGAACATTGAATGTAGTGGTAATGTGTGTGTGAGTGAAAGTGTCTCCAATTAGTGTAAAAGAGCTAGAACGACTAGACACTATATTAGCAAGTTAAAGAAAATGCTAACTTCACTCCAAATTATTTTGGAGTCACCTCGAATTTTAGCTAAAGAAAGTACTCACATAAACAATACCATGTTGAAACAGAAAGTTTTTTATAACATTCCTTACCTCTCCAATTTTTGGTACACATTCTCCCAAAATGGCCAAAGCAGTGTTTGTTGATGCAGTAATAGTAAGAACACTAAGATAATAGTAACATATAATAAGTAAAAAAACTGTTATGAGGCAAGGTAGAAACAGAAAGTCTAAATACAGATAATAGGAACTGGACACAAGATCTAGCAACTCTCACAAAAATGTATTCCATTGGAAAATTATGGTGAAAATACACTGTCAGCATCTATTTCTAACAATCAAACCAAGTCAAATTGAAGAAAAAACATTCAAATGACACTTGAGAATCAGTGATAATTTGACAGAACTTCATTCTTAAAACACATCAGTTTCAAAAACTAAATACAAACTCAACAAAAATGCAATGAAACAGACAAACATACTACATGGAAGTACTGAGTGAAGTGAGGTTTGGGACATACCGCTCTGAGTAATTGGTGTCGGGAACATTGACCACGGCATTGTACTTTTAGATGAGGATAGTTGTTTGGGTCATTCATAGTCAGGGTCACCAAGGGCCGGGCGATTGGAYGGGCAAACAAACGGGCGGGCAATGGGTGTGTAGCAAGGGTCAGGGTGAGAAGGAATAAAAGGGAATGACAAAGAATAAATTTAGCTACAGGAATCAAAGATAACCATTATTATTAAATATTATGCATTATCCTTAATATAATGTGTGCAATACTATATGTAAGTTAACAATTTTTTTCTAATCTAACCAATCTAAAAAAATGTAAAAATGTAAATTATAATTCAAAGAAAGTTAAAAAACATTTTGAATGATAAATTGAAATTAAACAAGTATTCAATTCTATATGTTTAAGACTAAAAAACTGACTAAAAAAATGAATAAATAAATAGTATAGAAAATGTTTTTTCTTACCTCAGATCTTAGGCGCTTAATGTTGGAACCTGACTATAAAATTGAAAGGAAATATTTGAAAACCTGTAACTTGTTTATTACCACTTATAGGGATTATACTTCTAGACAATCGATAAATAATATGCAATATTAGCTAGGCCTTTGGTATACCATCATAAATGTTCAAACTTATCAGGCACTTTAGTGTAGATTACTAAATAATATTTTTAAATATTCATATCTAAATTATTCAAAACTTTTCCATTATACTTCGCTCTCTTACCTTTCCAATAATACCACCAGCATCCTATAGAGACAAACACAATGTTAGTAACAAGCATAGTAAAATATAAAATGACAAGTCAATAATACCTTGCTTTGTAGAAGTATTCTTATAGTTGTTTCTCCATCTGGTCCTCCACTTTGTTTAAACCTTTTGTTATTACCATTGTAATCACCTTCAGCAAAACGCTTAAGGCTTCCACTTTGATCTCCTCCTATTACATGAGAAATATTATCATTTAGTACACACACTTTATAAAAATGGCATAAAATTACATTTTGGCTTGACAATGTGAAGAGTATCTATACAAGTTGAAAAGTTGTCACTTATTCACAACCTTTATAATGTAATGTCTTTGCAGATATCAATCATTGCAAGGGACCGACCATTTATTATGTTGCAGGGTGGGGGTTCTGGGGAAAAAGAAACTCTAACCCCAAAAATATATGTCAATTATATTGATCCCTCTTCTTCCTTATTTAGTAAGCTCAGTTCAGAGCCAGTATTTTGAAATTACGAGCCCCCCTTCCCCCTACAATGTAATGAACAATTGGCAAATAAGGAATATTAATGTACTATTACCTTCACTGGTACCCTCATCATATTGAGAGTTGGGTTGAAGTTCTTCCTGTTTTATGTAACCTTGATTTGGTTGCTGTTGTTGCTCCATGTCTGTATGTTTTTCAGTCTATAATAAAAATGTTACAGGTGTAGTTTTGAGATCCAAAAAAATCTTTACAGGAGTCATAACATATTTATTATTTCGAATTTTCTAATATYGATACAATGTTTCTGTTAAAAAGCAGGTTGTTTAAAATGTGCTGTCATTCAAGGTTTTAGCTTAACACAAAGGGAAACTGCGGTTTTAATGCTAAATAAACATCTACCACCATCAATCGAAGGATTCATTACCTATATCTTCAACAATAAATAAAGCTTATTTGCCCTACTATTAAATAAAGAAGAATGGTTTATGTTTTACCGAGATTATCCAGTGATAATCTGAATGCTGCATGACAGAACCTTTTTTGACCTTACTGCTAGAGCATTTGGTGACCAAAAATAATTTTTCGCATCTAAATCGAATTCCGTCGACCATTTAATGGAATTTCGGCTTGTGGAACACGATCAAGTGATGAAGTATGATATGAATGTCGGGTGTTTAGCTCCTGTGTTGATCTTGAACCCCTTGATACAGAGTGCACGTAGATAAGATATGACTCAATTTATTAACCCTTATTTAAAGAATTAATGATATCTAACGGTAGGAAAATCAATAAATCATACCGAAGAAAGGTAAAAACTTATGAAACAAGAGACAATGTCGCGAAACGAAACAGGACTTCCATGTTTAACATGTTTGGTAGTGTTGAAGAAAAATCCGTAAAAAACAAATCACAAATAAAGGATAAACGCTTATTATGCGATTCCTTACACAGTAAACTTATTTCTATATGCTTTAGTGGTATTATTTGGCATGGTTTGTGGTTCAAATAAGGCAAAAAAATAAGTTTTTTTTACCTTGTTAAGCGTCTTCTTTGCTTTCTTCCTGCAGTGAACCACGAGTCATCCAAGCCGCAGCTTACACAGGACTATGGGTAACGTGATGAGAGGGGACTGAGACTAGCATTACGTCATAGTTGAGGTTTGCAAGGACACCTGGGATGTGTTGCGTCACTCACTTACTTAGTAACCTCTCGATCGATTACACGAAGATGAACCATAACTAAAAACTGCTATGAAAACTACTGGAATTACGAGCTTATTTTACACACACGGCTTTTTATGTGCCTCTCATCCTGTAGAGATACTACTACTGTGTATAACTGGCACAGTCTGTCTGCTAACTCTTAATATTTATGATGCTACACACGCTCAAGATTCGCTTGTTTCTGCAGTCACCAAGCAGAATAAGGTTCGTACAAGATACAAACATGTAAAGGGTTTTGAGCATGTTGAGAGATTTAGACGATTCGAATACTCCTTTTATCTCTTATCAAGTGCTTTTGTTGGGTATCAAATCTAAAGTAAGAACAATAGATTAGTAAGACTTTGACTCATTTGCTTAAGGATGTTATTGTTTACAGAATCACTTCCCTGTCAGCATTCATGTTCAGATCAGCGCCACAAGCTACTTCCTCGCTCTTCTGTGCGTATATTTACAGTGCAAAAAGATATTACATACTGGATCGACATATTTAGCTGGTAGGGACAAAATATAGATATATAATATCGCCTGTTACAAATTACATAGAAGAATATGTTATAGCTAGAAGGAGAATTCATGCTATTTTTCCATTCCAGTCATAGTTGGAATATTTCTGATATTTTCCTGTGCACTATATACATCCATCATTGGAAACATATTCAGAGGTGAACTATCTATTCTAAGGTAAGTTGATCAAGATGTTTAATTTTAAGACAAATAAGTTTGATCAATAAGGCTTGTTAGAGGGAACTACTAATCAAGATTCCTCAAGCACTTGAAATGTGATTTATATGACTGTGTAAATCTCACTGCAGGGGCATTGTTATGACACTGCAAGGCACTGCTGCAGTCCACTAAACCAATCTAATTATACAATAATTTAATCAATATTTAATTAATTAATGCCCAAAACAGGGGGCTAACAGACACATCAAGGTCAAAGCACTGCCGGACAAATCACATTGCATTACTGTACAAAAATCAGTGGATCAGATTATAGAAAATATCACAGTTGTGGCAAAGCAAGCATATGGCACTGAGCTTTTCACAGTAACATGAAAACAGACTGACAACTGAAAACAAACACACACTAAACATCAAGTTGTACTTCATGGAGCACAGCCTTAGATGAATTAATTATGAGTCTGTTGTTATATTACAGAGAGGCGATTCCTTTCTTCTTTCTGTTAAGTGATTTTGTTACAGTCACTGATCTGACTAAATTTGCCCTCTTATCAACATCATGTGTGAGTATCATCATATAACATATACTTGCATTGATCAATATACTGGTATTCAAAACTTACTAACCGCTCTTTTTCATTATTTTTTTTAGGAAGAGGCCACATCAAAAATAGCACAGGGTGTAGCTACATTAAGTCCATCTGTTACTTTAAATACTTTAGTTGGAGCTTTGGTAATTGGAGTTGGATCTCTCTCAGGAATACAGGAATTAGAAACAGCTAGTTACCTTGGTTGTCTTGCTCTAGTTACCCACTATATTATCTTTATGACCTTCCTTCCTGCATCTCTTTCTTTGTTTCTTGAGGTAATGTTATTATTATAAAGTAGATGTATCATAGACAGCATCACACAGAAACAAATCCCTGAGCATTATGCAAGTAGCCTCACATTCAAACCTTTTTGTGTGATAAGTAAAGCATATCTAGGAAGTGGGCTATTTTTGGGACATTAAACATTGGAGTACATCCTCTAAAAAACACCTATAATTTGGGGGAATAGAGGGTAGTGTAGCAGTAGTGCTCTTACCTCTGGGGTATTGGGTTCTAACACTTAGCATCACACATGAGTAGAGTTTTGTTACATCTCTCCTTTGATTCAAGGGTCTTTCTCCAATTTTCATTCCTCCTCAAAACTAAATATGCTAAATTCCAATCCAATCTGGGATTTAAGCATACCCTGAATTATATTAGCCTGGAGGCTGTTTCAGGGTACCAATAAATTCTGATGCTTTGCCTTGTTGGATTGATTGTATTGATGCTGGATATAAAGTGGAAGACTCTGTTAACCAGTATGTCTGAAACTTTTTCTTATAAATCAAGTGATGAAGTCATTAATATACTTGCTTTGATTGAAAGTTGTGTAACAGAGGTCAAAATCAACCGGCATGGCTGTTAGATTCATCCATTGATCTTGATGTGGAGGAGCACCAACAAAAATCAAATCCGTTATTACAGCATGTTAAGATAATTATGGTAAGCCAGCTATGCTGAACTAGGTTGTGAATCTAGATTAATTATAGTATTAAAGATCTAAATTATAATTGATCAATACCCTTATCAGTCACTGCAGAAGATGGTCAGATGAGCGAAACATTCTAAACTCGTAAAAGAACAAATTTTTTCTAGTTGTTTCTTACTACAACTGTGTGCCAAAATTGTTATACTGAAAAACCTTTTGTTTTAACAGTCTGCAGGTTTGTTGTATGTTCATATGTACAGCCGGTTAATAGTCAGTACTGATTCAGAGAATAATACCAATTATAAAACAAGTGGTTCACCAACTGCCAGTAGTATTTCAAGGTACAGTATACCTGAATGTTAAATCAGCTGTAGTGGATTAAGAGTTATCAGATTGGTCAATAAATATTATTAATAAATATTATCCGTCGGCTTTCATTTATAGCAGTTGAATTGCAACTGAAGGTTACTGACGTTAAATGTATTGGTTCCAGTACTTTACCTTTACCTTTATTACATTTCCACAATGAATGATGTTTTTTCATTTTTTCTACCATGTCATAAAACTTCAGAACTTTTTGATTTTCAAATCATCAATTAATGATATAATTATTAATTATCTCATGTTGCAACAATTTGGTGACAAATATTCTGGCATTGATTTTTTTTAGGTTTTTGGCAGGCAATGCAGAGGAGGTAAGTAGAACACAGTATTTAAAAAAGTAGTCTCAATAGTCTCACAGAACTTCACCTGCTCAAACAGCCAATCATGTCTCTTGAATTTGAATTATTTTCCCAGGAAAGCTACTGTAAATGAATAAAGTGTGAAATCTGTTTGTTTTTAATTATCCTGTGTCTTCAACCAAAATGTTTCATTTTTTCAGGCTTTTAGACTAATGTCCTAAAYGTCCATTTTCAGGTCATAAGAAGTACAAAAAAAGTATGTTTTTTTTTAGAAGTTAATGATTTTCTTATTTGTTTGTAAACAGGTTGTAGCATTTGTATTAGCTTTATTAGTAGCTGCAAAGTACTTGTATCTTGAAAAAAATGAATCAAGAGTGCTGATTGATACAACATCAGAAGTGTCATCTTCATACAATGTAAAGGAAGCAAAAAAAGACAGATTAGTTATTGGATTAAAGCAAAAGAAAAGGATAAGAAGAGCTACATATACCTGTGGTGATGATGATTCCATTGATGAAGAAATAACTGAAATGCTAGATGAAAACACACAAACATCAGAGCAGTGTTTAGTAACAAAAACATTGAAAGCGACACTGGAAGATACAATGGAAGATACAATGGATACTAAAAAATCACCAAAGAACCAATCATTTTCATTCACTCATCATATACCAAAATGGAAACGATGTCATTCTTTCAATGATAGCTTGAGAGTCACTGTAAACGATAACCCCCCTAGATGTGTAACTGCCTTGGAGAAAAGCAATAACAGCAAAGATAACTTGAACTTCAATATTCCATCAGTTATAGTAAGCGAGCACCAAGATCTGTTTGAGAAACCTGTCATGTCTGGATGTATTGAAAGTGCTGGTTCTGAAAGAAGGACTTGCAGAGATGGTGTAAGGACAGTAGGAGAGTGTAAGAAAATAATGAAAGAACCAGTAAGTATTATGAAATTGGTCAAAAACTGTGCTTTATTAGTGAATTTAGCATGGTTGCTGACCCAAACCACATGCAAACAGCAAAGAAGGTGTCAGAAAATGACACAGCTGTTTTTTTCTTATTTGACAAAACTTATAAAGCAGCTTTTTACATGGTTCTTTAATTAATATAGCATGAAGGAAGTGACACACACTTATCTACAGCCCATGCTTCTCATCACACTTCTTTCTTGTTTACGTCACTTTCAGCAGGCAACATTACTGAATGTTAGATCATATTTAAGCTCAAACCCCCTGATCAACTTTGGGTGCAATATAATGTATATACATGCTTATTATATATTCTCTAAATTGGTTGTATGAGCCATCAAGCATATATCTTTATGTGTTTAACATTATACTTTGATTCTTTCCTCAAGGATGGTATATTTGATCTTACAGATGAAGAAATATGTTCCTTAGTGGATGAAAAAGTTATTCCATTTTACCAACTTGAATCAGCTTTAAATAATTTCCAGAGAGCAGTGCACATCAGGTTGGTTGTTAACTTTTGTCTGGAATATAACATGTTTGGCAACTGTAAATCAATTAATTACAACCCTCCTTTCAGACGGAAAATCACATCTCATAAAATAAACGAAGACCAGGATACCTTATCAGGCCTCCCATATCAGCACTATGACTACAAATTAGTGAGTAATTTTCTTTTGTTCAAGCATCCAAACGTTTTATTAAACCTTCTTCCCTTAGGTTTCAGGAGCTTGCTGTGAAAATGTAATAGGATATATGCCAATCCCAGTGGGTGTGGCAGGACCTCTCCACCTAGATGGAAAAACATATTATGTACCCATGGCAACGACAGAAGGTTGCTTAGTGGCAAGTACTAATAGAGGATGTAGAGCACTAGCAGTAAGTGTTACAGGATATTGGTGAAACCAAAATACTACTATAGATAGCTTGTTGAATGATTACTGTTATGCTTGTGTTTATTTAGGGAAGTGGTGGTGTAAGAAGTTCTGTCATAGGGGATGGTATGACAAGAGGACCTGTGGTACGATTCCCTTCAGCCATGCAAGCAAGGTACTAACAGGTTATTTGTTTACTGAGTAAATAGTGACTCCAATGTCTAACTATAATGTGTCTTGTCTTCTAGTGAGGTCAAGTTATGGTTAGAAGATCAACTGAATTTTGCAGCTATCAAAAAATCATTTGATAGCACCAGCAGGCAAGTAACTAGCTGAGCCATGTGCTGTAGTTTGCAATGAGTGCTGAAAACACTTGTGACTAAATAAAAAGTGCTTTACAGGTTTGCCAGGTTAAAGTCAATCAAGTGTGCAGTAGCTGGACGGTTGTTGTTTGCAAGATTTGTTGCCACTACTGGTGATGCTATGGGAATGAATATGTTGTCCAAGGTATTATATATATTGTATAGTATTGTATTGTATAAGTATTATGATCATCTGGGTGGATGTAGTCCTGAGAAGGACTGTTTGATATGACTGACGTTTCAACAACCTGAGCGGAAGTCATCTTCAGAGTTAAGTGAAGAATAAAGTCAGATTGGTCATATTTATACTGCCAGTATTACGATAGCCTAATTACCTGGATTACCGTAAGTCGCTGTTTCAGTGTTGTGGGTGGTTTTATTGTTTCTAATAAGCCTATTATACGGAGCCAGTAACTTAATTGAGCAGTATTATATATAGTTTTTAAGCATAAAAGTGCCATTTTAAGATATTCAAGCTGTTTTTGTTTCCTTTTGCAAGGGTACTGAGAAGGCACTTAAAGAACTTCAGGACCAGTTTCCAAGCATGGAAATATTGAGCTTAAGTGGAAACTACTGTACAGACAAAAAGGCAACAGCAATAAATTGGATAGAAGGCAGAGGAAAATCAGTAGTATGTGAAGCTATCGTGCCTGCACATGTGGTAACCAAGGTAGCGTTAGTTATCATACATTGTTTTTGAAGAGAGAAAAAAATTCAATTAAAATGATGGATATTTTGTTTTTAGGTATTAAAAACAAGTGTATCAGCTTTGACAGAACTGAATACAAGCAAAAACCTGGTTGGTTCAGCAATGGCAGGTGCTATTGGTGGTTTTAATGCTCATGCAGCAAATATTGTTACTGCTTTGTTTATTGCTACTGGGCAGGTAAGCACATAATTAAGAGGTTATTACTTGTAGAGTCTGTTGGCAGCAGTTTTATATATAAGGTTCTTTACTACAGGATCCTGCACAGAACTTAGCAAGCAGTAACTGCATAACACTATTAGAACCATGTGGACCAAATCATCAGGATCTTTACATAAGGTAAACGTGGATGGTTTAATGATCTAATAAAGTATAACAGTTGTTTATCATCATATTATTTTGTTTCAGTTGCACTATGCCTTCACTAGAAGTAGGAACTGTTGGTGGTGGTACAATCCTAGCACCTCAGACATCCTGCTTACAGGTAAAGATATTGCCATTATAAGCAAAACCCAATGTTTTCCTAGAGTATGATATTAACTAGTGGATTTTAAACTGTTGTAGATGCTTGGTGTACAAGGAGCCTGTAATGAGGAACCTGGTCAAAATGCTACACAACTAAGTCGTATAATATGTGCTACAGTATTGGCAGGTGAACTTTCATTACTTTCTGCACTTGCTGCAGGACAGCTTGTACAGAGTCACTTAAAACATAACAGGTGAGTTTTCTGTTATCTTCTCCCTCCCCTCCTTCTACAATAATCTAACGCAAGAAATATTTCATCTGGGGCTCTTAGCATTAATTTCATGATTTTAAGGTTACTCAATAATTTCCCCAGATTCAACATTTTAAGGTTACTTATTTTAAACCATTATCTCTTCCACAGATCAACTATCAATTTATTTGGAAGAGAAGAACCAATGAAGAATTGTGCTGTTTTATGACAAACACCCTTCCCTAGCCATTCACAATCGTAACCTTCTATCCTGTAGGACAGCAAGAAGAAATGAAAATAAACGACTTTATTTAGCTTTTGTCAATCTAGAAAACATAATATGAAATTCTATTTTAGGAATAATTGATACTAGTTGAAATATTGTAAATAGTGTTTTACTGCTTTATTTCCTAAATTGTATTGTAAATCATTACAAGAAATAGTTAATATTTACATCATTTATGAGAATAACCAGAAGACAGATAAGAAAGCTTATGTTCAGCAATATTAAATTATTATGGATACCTTATTATTCAACAGATTGTGTATACTCCAGTTTCAAATTGTCCGTTACTCAGCATCAGCGTTTACTCCTCAGGCCTGCGTCCCATGGTCATGAATTTCAATGCAAACCCTACCCTTGCCCCTGTGTTTTAACCTTGATATCTTTCCACATTGTCAAGTGTGAGAATAATGTGGGAAAAACCTTTAGTGTTAGAAGCTATAAAATCATAAGCTTTAGCAAACTTACAGATTGAGCAATGCTTATTCCATTCTGACAGCAACAAACAGTGGTTGGGCAGTTGAAAGAATAAACAAATCATTAATAACGATAAGATGAAAAGAGTTGTGATATGTTTTGCTTTATGAAGGTTTTGTCTTTTGATTTCACATGTGACATGTTGGGTTTACTGTTTATTCTCACAGGTTTTTATTAAATTGGGTTTAGAAATAAGGTACAGGTGTATGTGCCTACCTTAACTTGTTATTTTAATACTGTTTATTAATAACTCTTTTTAGAGTGAGCACAGTAAATCCTTGAAACTTTAGTATAATACTAAATAGCACAATTTCATGCAAATTTCATCGTTTTTTATTGTTTAACTAGCACTATTTTGTAGTATTTAGTAATTAGTGTTTCACGGATTTACTGTGATCACTCTATCATATTTACATACAGTATTTGTATCAAAACAGCTTTGTTTGTTCCATCTGTCAGAAGACTTGTTCACTTGAAGAAGGTTCTTCGGCTTTCCAGCTGAAATGAAATTACGATTTTTAGTGAGTGAAAAGCTGTGTGCTATCTGGTGTTTAAATCATATAAGCAGTGATACACTACCTTGAAGGAGATGAAGCACATGAGAACTGCTTGTTGAAGTCAATGCGTAGCAGAAGCTGTGCAAGATGTGGGCTGGCTTGATGACTACGAACACTTGATAGAATCTTGAATAACAGGTTGGACTGACGTTCATAGTTCTACATAGCACAAATAGACATTAAGGTATTAGGATACGAAAAATGACGAATTGCTCGAAAAAAAAATTTTTTTTTTAATTTCGTAATTTTAAACTGTTATCTTTCATATGTTTGTGAAACTTCTTGCAATTTTTGATTGGAAAAGCCAAAATTTTGAGAAAAATCGAAATCGTGACTTAATCAAGACCGGAAATGTACCGTCGCTTAATATATGCACATCTGTCATGCTCCTTTGTCATCGTAAAAAGATCCTACATTGCGATCGTCCAGAACACCAGATAATTTGACAAGTGATGACAAAATGGAAGGCTCAAGGTGTTTTGGCCAACACCATCGTGGCTCCCTGCAGCTTCCAGCTCCAAACAAAGAAATGTGTTTTTCTCGAATCTTTTTTGCCGCTAAAACCTCAACTTCAAAAAGCTAAAAGTCCCTTGGATTTCATTCGATTTTTTTAAAATTTGGAGGGTTTATAAAGTAACTTATAATCCAAAAAAGGGTGTCTCCGAATTTTTTACTCTAAACAACACTCCAAAAGCGATCGCTGAACTTTGATCAAAAATAGCGAGAGATAGAAAACAGATATCAAAAATCTGGGACACCCTTTTTGAGCTTATTATCTCCTGAGTATGTTAAGCCATTTTTCGCAAACATAGCTTAAAATCTACGTGTCTGTTAACGTTTTCACTGAGGCATGGTCAAATTTCGCTTCGAGGGCAATAATGTGAACAACAATAAAAAAAATCGTATTTTGAAAATTTCTTCATAAACTATATTTACTCAGCTTTCAGAAAATGTATACTTTGTTTGTGTTATACTATAAAGCCAGCGCGTTATTTAAGTTTGCGCGCATAGTGGTCGTAAACGTATCCTAATACCTTAACATAATAGAATAAATCAGTCATGCATCACAACTACTTTATTAACTCCCACCTTTGAGATGTCATACAATTGTGTCTCAATCCTTTCCGATATTACATCGGTAATCTGTAACAACAGAGTGCAGTAAGCTTGGCATAAGGATAGTATTTCCTCAAGGCAGTGGGCTACCTGTGGTTAAAGAGCAACAATAAATACTGAACCAGCTGACTAAGGAAAGAGGCAATCTCATGTAACTATTGACTTACAGGTTTCATAAGTAGGAAAGATTGTGCCATCAACGTGGTAATGAAATTATCATGTGCCAAACGAATGGATTCAAAATCTCTTGTATTATTGATTTTATCAATCAGTTGTGTGTACTGTGCTTCCAAAACATCCACCTGGTACAATAAGTAATAAATAAATAAATATTAGACATAAATAATTATTATTATCTAATTGATATCTGTGGTTACCTGTAAGTAGTACTGTAAGTTGTCAACCAGAAAAGCCATATGCATCCTCAGTAGCCAAACTCTAGTTAGACTTGAAACATTGGTCTGGTTCTTGGATGCCATGTGTTTTGCCCAAGCTCCCTGTAAATCTTGTTGGGTTCGTTTAACATTTAAAAGATGACGAAACATCACATTGTACCTTGAAAATTTAAAAAACGTAAAACTGGTTATCAATTCTTTTCGGAACTAAGTTAGGAGAGAGAGCAGTGACACTAGAAAGAATGAAATAACTTACTTATCCAATATAGGTTCCTGGAAAAGAATGTGTAATGGCCACTTGACATTGTATTCAAGCTTCAAACAATCCCAACCACTCACCACTACTTGATCTGTTTTTTTTTAAAGATTAAAATAACAATAAATTGTCTGCGCTTTCTTCCAACCATTTTCTAGTTACACTTATTTCAATAAAGTTAGTCACCAAAAACCTAGAAAGCTGAGATCACTGAGCATCACGGGAAACTTTTCATATCAAAAAAGCATATATATATACAAAGCTTTTTTAATACAAACTGCAGCTCGATGATGCTCAGAAGAGGTAAGACTGTAATCTGTAAAAGATTCGCAAGTCCATGAACAGTATTATCAAGCGGTTGAATGTGTAAAATGAATCTACCCATAATCCTTGTCGGCCTCAGCTTTATAGCTTGTCAGGTGACTAACTTTATTGAAATAAGTGTATACAAAAGTAAGGCTAAAATCAAATGTTGAAATTTACATGATCCCAACCTCTTTAGTTGGGATTGACTCATATAATCAAGTTCAACTGACCAAGTCAAACATCAAACTTATTTATGTTGATCTTAAAACAAACAAAACCAAACAAATCATGTTTAATGTTTATGCTGTCAGCGGTTACACAATCATAATGCCAGTCCATAATCAAATCATGAGCTGCAGCATTCAACTGCAGCAACCATGTTGACACTGCATGCATGGTGACAAAGAATAATTTAAATGAGMGCAAAACGTACATGATTTATGCATTTAGATCGACTCATGTGATACGACATTTGACCCCAAGTTGATCTACAGTCATTCTTCCTGACTGAGTCAGTCATGAAGATTGACTTAGATGGTCCAAATTCAATTGGTTGAACTTAATTGGGTCAAACTTATTTCAAACAATAATTAAGTTTGGCTCATGTGAAGTTCGACATTTGACTTGAGCCTAAAACTAGCAATTTGAAGTCATCTTCCAGTTTATACATTGAAGACTAACAAAATGAGCAACTTCGAAGACTAACTAACCTGGCATAGATTTTTTTTTGCTTTGATACATATTCATATCCACATTCAAAGTGAATAAAGCACCACTTTCCTCATCATCATATAAAAACTAACAAAGGAAATGTCTGTTAATTTTATTGCCATCCCAGACAGTAAAAAATGTTAAGGGAGTTGGCAGTGAGATACACAACTACAAAATTTGTTATGAGCATTGGCATTTTAATGTGCTGTAGTTCCAAAGGTTATCAATATCCACCCCCCGAAAATTCAATTTTCTTCCATACAAACTTTGTAATTTCATTCTGTCTTTGTGAACTTGCAACTAAATGACTTTGCACGACAAGTTGCATGATTTACTGCACATTAACATGATAAATGATGTCTTATAGCTGTTGTCCTACTGGCAGAAAAAAGTCTCCTTTGTGCCTAAATGTTAGTAGTTCAAACTTCTTACCTTGTGTAAAACCTGCTGAAAAAATGCATTTGCATCTAAAAAGGAAATTGAAAAAAAAATTATTAACTTCTGCCTTACATGGCAGATGACTACTAACAGACAAACATTAGGCCTGTATCTAACTGCTGTTCAAATAATCCATTATGAATGAGATTAAAGTTCTCTTGATTACCATGTGATGTGTTTCCTGAGGGAGGAACTTTAAGCAGTTGTTGAGCCTTTTCAATCAATGCAGAGAATAGTTCACCTCGACCAAGAAGAAAAAAGTCTTTTAAGATCTGTTAATAATATAAATACTACTATTACTCTTAGCCTTAAAATGGCCAGTGATCAATATTACTCTTTAATCAATAAATTAAAGGCCTTAGACTCATTGTGAGAATTAATGATGAATCAAATGAATACAAACCTGCAGATGTCTGAGAAGTTGGGCATCTTCTACCACAAGTTTCCACAAATGCTGAAGACAAATAAAAAATCTTAGAAAAGGACAGATATATGTAATGCGGAATCATGGGAGATGCAGTACCTCAGCAACATAGGTTCTTATCTTGTCCATTTCACTTTCAAAAACTGTTAAACTAAACTTAGGTCGTTGCTGAAGGGAATAGAGAGAACGTAGAAATTCTTCCTCTTTCTCATGAACAATTGAATCTATTTTTTTTCAAAAACAAGAAAACAGGATTAGTCACAAAAGAGTTATGGTATATCCTTTTTGAAGTGGGCCAGGGTGTGGTCTAGGTGTCAACTTTACTCTTGCATCATTCATTTTAATTGCTGTAATAAACATAAGCTCTTTTTTTCAAATTGGAAAATTAATTAATTTATAATACGCTCTACAAAATTACTCAATTCTGATTGGACAAGAGGAGTACAATTATTAAATCCCAAATTGTACACTGTAGAGTCCCAATTAAGTTGCTCAATTTTTTGAGTGTATTATAAACAAAAAATCATAATTCAGAGTTCATAGTCTTGAGTGATGTCTTGAAAGTTCTGAAACTGAATTCGCCTAAAGGGTCATCCAATCTTGAAAACTTTCAAAACATCACTCACCCTCTACTACCTATAAATTCCAAATTATTGTACTGGAGATCATGCAATTTTTCTATACCAATAATAATAGATAAATGAAAGAATTTTTTTATCCAACACAAAAATGAAAAATGAAGGGTTTCCATTAAAATCAAAGAAATAATAAAAACAGTACTATTACAAGGAGTATTTATTTAATATATTGCTTGTTGATCTGACTTGTTTAGTGTGCTTACTTGTTGCTGTAGACCCAATTCCTTGTTTGGCTTCTTCAAACATTTTGACAGAATCCCCCACAAAAAGGATCTTTAAGAAAGGGAAAAAGTAAAAGCTAACTCTAACATCCATCATTGTTTATTTTATGTACTGGATAATACCTTTTCAGCCACTCTAGTTGGGATATAAGAAGGCAGCATGTCAGCATTAATCTTAAATTGCCATAATACAGGAATACTCTGCTTGTCCTCGCCTTCCTATTAAGAAAAACAGAGAGCAAACCAGATCAAACAGTTCAATAAAAAAAGATTAACAGGATCAAAACTGTTATGACTTTTCACCAGCTGGTTAGCTCAGTTGCTTAGAGCATCCAAGTGCTGGCAGGACCAACACTTGGGTCTTAAATGTAACTATGATAGGCCCTGTCTCCTTAGGGTTAGCTAAGCTATAAGATATAAAGGGGGATATAAAGGAACCTAGAGTTGGATTACTGGTGTAAAAGTATGGGATTGACTCCCAGTTCAACAGCCATCCCAATTTGAAGGCATAACATAACACTAATTTACTAACAATTCACTCAATCTCATGATTATAAGCTGCATGGCTTTGAATATCACCTAATGTGCAGCCCCATAAAGTCCCCCACTGGTCTTTTAATAAATCCAAAGTGCATTGACATGATTTATGACATTTCCCCATCACATTTATTATTTTATAGTTTCAAAATATTGTTATTCCCCAAATACCATGATCTCTGACAATTGTTTTCCTGTTACTCCAGGAATACCAAGGTCATTGACCGTAACACCTTCTGGGACATTTTTTGAAGAGTCTATGTTTTGGGATGTTACTCTGGTGATAAGAAACTCATTGTTTCTGTCTGTTAGTAAACCATGTAAGAGCCATGCACTCAGCTGTTGATATAACACACCATGACAAATAAACAGAATCCTGTTGTAAAACAAGAAGAAAGTATGTTACATTATATATCATTATATATGTATTATTTCTATTTTCAAGTATCAAATATATTTATGTATTTACCTTTCCATACATTCTTTGACAACTGGTATACCGCAGATAGAATTCTGATATAAAATGTCCAACAATTTACATCCTCCAGCCTAACATCAAAATAATGTAGTAAACTATCATAGTAGAGTGCAAACAATATAACCATGAAACTTTAGTAATACTAAATAGCACAATTTCATGCAAATTCCATTGTTTTCTATTCTTTAATTAGCACTATTTTGTACTATTTAGTAATTTATAGTGTTTCAAGGATTAATTGTTTGCACCCTATATAAGGCTATTATTAATGGATGAACCTCATACCTTTTGAGTTTGAATTTGATTAATCAAGTTATCCAATGCAGGAAATAAAACCTGATACTAAAAGAATAAATATGTAGCAAATTAGAGTAAATTAATATCATTTTGCAATGTATTGCAGAAAAAAGCAAATAATTGTTTACTTTGTTTTATTCTCATTAAATATTAATGCAATTTAAAAACATGGTTACCTTTTCTAGAGAATGCTCCACATGAGATAAAGGTAAGCAAGGATCTTTTAACACCTGTTAAAAAACGTGTAAATAAAAATTTATTACACATTTAGGGTCAATATCCAAGTGATAAATTCTTGAACAATACTCATATCTTCATTGAAGTAATACAATATCATTAAGGCAATTTAAAAACTGTAAATTCTATTTATTTTATCCAGCTTAAATCTGTAATATTATAAAAAATTTTTTACATGTTATAAGAGCTTGATATCTTTTTTAATTGCTGGTTTCCCATATAATATTGCTCACTGAGTTGCTCCTTCGCAACATGATTTGTTAACTGAATATAACCATATCAAGCCATTAGGGTTACTTTTCATCTGCTGTATTATGAGGCATGGTTTAGGCTGTTTTATTTTTTAAAGCGGATAATGAAATGAATGTACAGTCAAATATTTGTACCTTGCCCTCTAACTCCACTAAAACTTGTCTGTAGTCATGCAGTACTTGATCAAGACCTGTAGAAAATGCTTGGATATACAATCCACAAGAATTGTATACATCACAACCTGAAATATAAACAAATTCAAATAAATCAGTTTAAGACCTAATAATGTATTATATATAAGCTTACAACCTAATTTCATATAAGGTGCAACAAAATGAGAAACATACATACTTTCTACAACAAGACTTGAATGTTTTTTGATAAATTCTTGAAAGCAGCAATAGTATGATCCAAGTCGGCATATTCTGTTAAGAAGAGTTACTTCACAGTCATGAATAAATGGTATGTCTGCAGCAACCTGAACAGATATTAAAAATAATATTAATAACATCTTGATTTAATGAGGGCATAACACCAATAGGTATAAACCTATCACTGGTCTATCACAAATCATGCACTCTGATTGGCTGAACTACTAGTGGTATATTAGTGACAGACCACTAAAAGTAATAAATGCCAGTTTTTAAAACCAGAAAATGCCAGAAAAAAATTTTTGCAGTATAATTTCATATTTGTTCGTATTCACATATAGAAACAAGAAACACCAATGTGTTATCCATACCCCCAACCCATGAAGGAATTATTTTTAAATTGACATTAATTATTAGGAATCTCAACTCAACTATTTCAGTTTCTTATCAATGATATTCTACTATTTCACTTGTTCACTATTATGCATGTACCATTTTTTTTACAACAGTTAACTCGCTTCTTCAAATAAGCCCGAGTTAAGGCCAATGGGGGCTCACTTTGCTTGTCGACCTTACTATAAATTGAGAATTAAGAAATTTTCAATTCATATAAAAATTAATTTCTCTTTTCCCTATGCCACCAACCTTTAAACCTTCTTCGAGCTTCTGTACGAAAATACCCCCAGTATCCCCCGACAATGCTAAAAGTAATTCGTGTAGCATTTTTTGCCCTACAAGACAAGCTGCTTGGACAATTTCAACATTACTTTGTCTGCCATTTTGGTTGTCACTAAATGACATGCGCAGAACAAAGGACCCACAAGGCTTTGCGCTCCTCACGTCGTCCTCTTTTCCCTTGCTTCTGTTGAGGTTTCTTCTCGATAGAGAGAAGATCAAAATGAAGGTAAAAATAACACTTTTCTCTTGAGTTTAAGGACAAAATGGTACTGACAGAATAAAATATAATTATTGTTAAATATAAAAGTCCAGTTTTATTAGAACGATGGGTCTAATATCTCTTATTATGAGACGGATTGTTTTTACTTTCATAGTCGTGAAAGGCTGGTTCTAGTAATTTATCCATTGGACTAAAATCGTATATTTTTCAATTGCGACAATTATTGTATACGTTTCAAAACTGTTATTACGATACTTATAAAATTACTCGCTTAAACACATGTGAAACCTACTGTCTTTGAAATGCATTCGTATATAGCACTGTAGTACAGTGTTCCTGTACTTAGTATCCCAAATATTATTCAAGTTAACATTTATATTCATATTCTCGAAAACTATCATGCTGTCTTTGCGTGGAGGTTTTCAGGGGAACCATGCAAGCCAGTTAACCTTGTAATATGAGCCAATGCATATATTGTTGACTTCATTTTGCTAAGAAGAGTTAATGTTGGTGCTTATTTTGTTTTGTTTTTATTCATTTAGCTCAATATAGCTTATCCAAATACTGGCTGTCAGAAGCTCATTGAAATTGAAGATGAGAAAAAAGTGTAAGTGGAAGTATAAATAATCAGCTCATTGGAGAATATAATACATTTATGTAAAATTTTGTTTGTCTTTGACAGACACTTGTTGAGCTAGCTTCAAAAAGTTTGTTGCACCATATAAGATTATTATAAGACTAACATAACCCTATTATCTGTTTTTCTGTAGGAGAAGCTTTTATGATAAACGAATGGCAATGGAGGTCCCTGGTGATTGCCTTGGCGATGAATGGAAGGTAAAATTAGCATGTTGATCTAGCAGTCACTAATGTACTCCAAGCACCTTTTGGTACTTGCTGAAAATATCATAGTTTGACGATCGGGAACTTGTAGATTTTCCCTATTTTAGCTTTAATGACACATTGTGATTGGATTATTTACATGAAAACAAAGGCAACCATTGTATTGTTACATCGTGATGTACCCTATATGAGATACCAGTTGCAACCATTCAATTTTTGTTTTTGTTACTTTGAAGTTTATGGTTGCCCCTCTGTAACTTTTGGATTTTGGTTTTCACAGGGATATGTATTCAGGATCACTGGTGGGAATGATAAACAAGGGTTTCCAATGAAGCAAGGTGTTATGACAAACGGTCGTGTCAGGCTCCTGCTATCAAAGGGACACAGCTGCTATAGACCACGTCGTACTGGGGAGCGCAAACGCAAGTCTGTCAGAGGATGCATAGTTGATTCTGCCCTTAGCGTGTTGAGTCTTGTGATTGTGAAGAAAGGTGAACAAGACATTCCTGGTCTTACTGACACTACTATCCCACGGCGTCTTGGACCTAAGAGAGCAGGAAGAATCAGGAAGATGTTCAATCTGTCTAAAGAAGATGATGTGCGCCAGTATGTTATCAGAAGACCACTTCCTGAAGTAGAAGGAAAGAAGCCTAAGTCCAAAGCACCCAAAATTCAGCGCCTCGTTACCCCAGTGGTACTCCAGCGCAAGAGGATGCGCATGGCCCTGAAAAGGCAAAGAGCAGGAAAAGCCAAGCAGGAAGCAGCAGATTATGCTAAACTCTTGGCAAAACGTGCTAAGGAGGCCAAGGATAAACGACATGAGACCCTCATGAAGAAGCGCAGAGCATCCAGCTTGAGAGATTCTGTCAGTGCTAAATAACATGTAATAAAGTAATTGAGCTTCATTGAACAAGTGTTTTTTGTGTACCATTCATTTTAGTTTTCCTTTATTCCACCATATTTACTTTCATAATTAATGAAAAGTATATAAGCTTCTAAGATATGGCAAACAGTATTCAACAGAATGATTAAAAAGGATGCATGTTTTTGCAATTTTTCTTACAACTTGTCTTGCAATTTTGTTGTGCAGTTGCATCTGCAGGGCAATGTTTCATGCATCACATTTTATTCATTACACAAATGATCTTGTTTAATAATTTATGTACAATAAAACATTGGCTGTAATAAATCGTTTAAAAGAAAGTTGCAGGAATGGTGTTACACCAAGCAATGTATGGCAATTTGGTTGTGGTAAACAACTCGATTCTATTTTCTACAGCATTTGCAGCAACAAAATTGTAAGACAAGTTGCAAGGAAGATTACCTTTTGTAACATCTCAATACACACTTCTGCAAAACTTTGTATTATGAAAGCAAAGTTGATGAACACTAAGATATGAGACTGGTATGCATAAGCCATAAGATTGGAAAATATAGCAGATTAGTAGTGGATATTGGCAAGAAGTGTTGGAGCTGTATCCCAGCTGCTCTGCTTTCCCTGTCAGAGTATGTCTAGTGGTAAATAATATGGCCAGTTCATGTTATTAGAAAGGGCAAGGCAATCTACAGGGGTGGTAAAAGGGATGACAAGTCACCCCCCTGCTCAAATTTCTCAGTATATCGTTAGTAACAGCATAGTTAATGTAGTGGAATGGTTGGGAAACCTATTGTTCTAGGTTGTTCGACTTTATCCATTATTATATGTTGACCCTGCACAGAGAAATAAAGTTGCTCCGTTTCTTCATAGTATTTGGGAATATATAAAATTTTAACCTTAAAAAACGCTCTAAAATACTTATTTGTTAATTGATCCTATATGATTAATGCAAATTGTTTATTGAAAAGGAAATTGCCTTTTTTCATGCTTTCTTATTTATCATCTAGTAACTTAACTGTATCTGCGAGGAAATATTATTTGTGTTTTTGGTCATTGAATGAAAGTTTTCACTTCAAAATGTTCATACATGAAAATAATGATACCAGTTTTTTCAGCCATACTTGCTTTGGTCCATTGTGCAGGGTCAGCATCACGTGATGGTATGATTCAACATCAAACACAAAACAATAGCTTTGTTCTATGGAGTTTCCAAACCATTCTGCTCCATTAACTATGGTAACACTCAACCTCCAATTGCTGGTAAAGCCTTTGTAATAGACCCCCATGCTAAAAATTCCTGGATCCACCCCTGATCTTTTTCTCATTTTCGGGCATATGATATGATCTTTCTTCTTGACCAAGGTACCAGGGTTAGTATTCATTCACATCAGCCAAAAGGACCTATTGGAATTTACCAGTTTCATTTTATTGTTTAACACTCAAAGGTTCTTTTGGTCTGTGCCGGTACGAGTGATAATGAGTTACTAAGTAGTTATTAAGCCTTGTTTCCACTCTATAGCTTTTAAAATACATTTAACCCCTGATACAATACTTTCAGTATTGATGCTTCATATTTCTTCATTTGAACGTTGCGCCCTTATGAAGATTTATACTTCGATTATGTTACTGAATGTGACGTCAGCCCAGGCTCCATTAAATATGCAAATTTTGACTGGTTCTCACAAACAGTAGTTAAAAAGCACCATCATTAAACTCGAGGTTTCAACAATGTTTATTGTAAATGTGATGTCTCATAATGGCTAGTGTTTAGTAATAAAAAATTAAAATAGTGGGATCCTTGCACTTATATCACAATATGACAACACCGAGAATAAACCAACGACCATCTTTGGCTAAATCTATCTTTTAAGCCACTCGGAGAGTGTACCTAACGCACTGTCTAATGTTCTTAATACTACAGGTACCCTATGGTAGCTCAACAATAGTGAGCCTGCTTCAGCGGAATAACCAGCAGACTGTAGTTGAGCTGCTACCTTCTTTACGCATACACCCTCAACACCACTCTCTTTCTCGTTTGACCGACTATTTCCCAACACAAATTTGAATAAAGGCTTTAAGAAAGGTGTTTTTGCTACTTCTGGTGCAAGGTTAGACAAAACCAAACTCTCTAGAAGTTCGTCATCACAAGTTTCTTCGTTTACCTGAAAAAATACATATATCGCATCAACATATGGTTTCAATTATTAATGATTATTAATTGTTTTTAAAAATGGTAATGTGCAGAAGTTTGATTATCTACCGTTAAGTTTGTCATTCGTGCTATTACTGCATGATGAAGTTCTTTGTGCCCAGTCCTAAGGCCAAACTTGAGCGCAACTACATCTGGACAGCGACTGCTGCTTAGTAGAATATCAAACACGTAGTGGCAGCACTGTAAAAAAATGTTCATCCATTAATCACGTGACAGTCTTCATACTAAATTTAGGCTCGTTCATAATGTATGCGGGTGTGAACGAAACCCCTAAACATACAACAACTTGTTGACCGGTTAAAAATTCGTTGGGTACCGTGTAAACACAGCCTGAGTTAGTAGTGCCAATTCATTGGTTCTTACATCTCACCTGGAATTTGGTGTGAGTGATTAAAATTTGGTGTGAGAGATTAGAATTGGAATTTGGTGTGGAGGAATTTGATGCGAGTGATTCGAATTCGATGTGAGAGTTTTGAATTCGACGTGAGCGTTTTGAATTCGGTGTGCAGAATTTTGAATTCTGTGTGAGCGTTTAGAATTCGGGGTGAGCATTTTGAATTCGGTGTTACAGTTTTGAATTCGACTTGAGCGTTTTACATTAACTGGTGTGAGCTTTTGGAATGAGGTGGAAGTGTTTTGAATTTGGTGTGGTGGAGGTTTGAAATTTCTGTGCACTTGTGGGCCACTGTATAAACTAGCGATACTATCCTCGCCACTCTAACCTGGACCACTCCTGATTCATTCAACCAATGTCGTTCACAGAACCTTTAGTTTTTAATGCGCATTTTGAAAACAATTATTTCCTCCAGCATGGTCAGTAAACTATAACAAGCTTTGGGAACAAATCTCGTCCCCAGAGCCTGCGTCTCTCTTGGTCAGCACCAAGAAACGAAGACCGTTTGTCATAATCCACCATATTTATCAAGATAGCTGGTAAAATTCACAGCGTATGTGTTATGTCTTCTGGACTTCTTGGTTATATCTATGTACCTGCACTTCAAGCGCTGTAGAAATAGCAGTATTTTTCATCAATCCTAGGAAATGTTGTCCATCATCACCATACTCTATCATCTTTTGCATTAACTGAATCCAAGGATTGATCTCTGGATCATGTTCACTGCACAATAAGAAAGCTTTAATTATTGGGCCAAAACTTATTGAGCACACGTATTTTTCATGTATCGTGCTTGGAATATAAGCAAGGAATAGGTATCATTTTAAACATGTTAATAATAACTAAATACATCTACCTGAGTTCAGTTGCTGCTAAAACAGGCCATATATGAAGAAGTGTACCAACTGATAAGAGTTCTTGCAAGGAGGTTGCTCGCTTTAACAGCTCCATAAATAAATCGTGCCTTTTCCCGTCGCTATCGATATCGTCTGGCAAGAGCTAAACAAAATACACCCATTAAATAATAAAAGAAGTAAATGCTTCTTGCCGCATTTGATTACATCCACATGCTAATGATTTGCGCTATACAAATAATATATATTATTTTTCGAAGTTATTAAAAACCGACAACCGGTTGGCTCGGTTGGCCGGCGGACCATGGAGGTCGCGGGTTGGCACCCCTGGGCAACCAGCTCTCAGGGTGTTTAAATAGGTGAGGAGAAGTTGCTGCCTTTGTTTCTCTATCTACAAATGGTTAGAACTTCGCGTCTTCGTGGATAAAGACGTAAGACCGGACTTCCCGTCAGCTTACACTCTCTAAACCCGTATAAAGAAAGTGGACGTTAAAGATCCTGTTGTATCATTCGTGCAAGAGTAGGGGATTGTCGCCCGGTACAACAGCCTGGACTTGGGGACATCAATAACTAACAAACCCTCGTGATTGTAAACTGTATAGCCGTCCGTCAAGTCCCCCAAAAATAATTATTGAAAAATGGCCTTTATGATTATTTATAACCATCATTTTCTCGATAAGAGGTTCAGGGTACTTCGTTTAAGGGGCACCACGTAAAAGACGCGTGGGGGGGGGGGGGGGGGGGGGGGGGGACGAAGAGTACATTCTTTTTAAGCACAAAAAACGACCCTTCCCCCTGGATCCGTCCTTGCTCCTGTTTTTCTCACTAGGACAAACCATATCCACTTTCGAGGTATTTTTTCCGTTTTTATCATCATCGTCATTTTTTTCGTCATCGTCGTCATTATTATCCTCATGCATGGCCGTATAGTACTAGTTTTTTATCTTCATCTTCGTGATTAGTATGCCCGCACAAGTGAGTTATTACAGGTTACCGCAAAATATTGTTACCCAAATTCACTTTGGTTTTACCTCTTTTTTCCAATTTGCAGTAACAATGGCTTCTGTCTGATAGAAAAGAAGTAAAAATGTGTCTTCCCCGCTAAAATCAAAATAGCCTTCCAAAGTATGTAACACCGCAGTTTTCACTTTAGCAGGTACGAGTACATTAGCGCAGAATGGTCGCAGAATGGAAAGGACGTCCTCTTGCGTTACCAGGCTCCCTCCGTTTTTGATGTGACTGCTGACCGTCATGATGATGTTCTCGAAGACCTCCATGACATTTTTCGAAGGACACGACGTCTTAAACGATGTGTTTTCTGGGTCGCTGCCGAAGTTAACAAAAATTATGATTGCATTTTTGGGGTATTTTACTAACTAATATGAAATGTACCCAATGTGCTCGGCTTACCTCAGCGCATTAAGAATTCTTGTTAAACAATCTTGAAGGGCATGAATAACTCTCCAAGACTGATGGGTTTGTCGGGAAGCCAATCTGAGCAAATTGTTTGCACTTTCCAGAGATACACCATTGGTGATCATGTTTGATACTAAGGTATTCATTAGATCGGGTGAAGAACGGGTGAGATCGTACAGGCGAGCGTACTGGGTATTATTATCCTGTGAAGGTAAAAACAACAACACATTCACATCCGTATCCAACGACGTTGATCAGTTTGTGTCTGTTCATATAACTGTTCCAAACCTCATCCAAATTAATAAGTTCGTAGATTATCCCATCTGTCATAGACTCRAGATGTCTTGCAGACTGTTCTAGATGAAGGGCAACTTTCTCGTACGTCATTCCATCGCAGTTTTCTTGTCTGTGGACAAAGTACTAAGTAAACTAAACAGGCCGGCTCTTATGAGAGAAACTCTTATTAATCTTATAACTCTGTTTTGTTTGTTCGAATACTGACCTCAGCTCTTCGCCATCTGGGACACCTTTTTTCTTAAGTGCTGCATCCTGCTGGCGTACAAATCTAAGTGACCTGTTGACTATATCTACTCTTCTTTCTAAGGGTAACGTATCCACAGCTTGCTCACTGAATGTCATATTATCGACCAGTTTAACGAGGTCTGTAGGGGTTAAACGTGTAAAGAACTTATGACAAGCGTCGTAGCGATGAACCCAGTCGATCTGTAAAACAACATCAAATCCTTTAATATTAAATTTCAACCGGCTTTCAATGGCGGGAGTTTCCTTATACCGTGTCATCCTGCCCGTTTTCTTTTGATTTCTGTTCTCCTTTCCAAAAGAGGTTCTCCGTAAAGGTTCGAAAAACCTCGCTCGGGCTGATGAAGCCTCCATCCTGGAAAAGATATTAAAGTAAGTACAACATATTTTAGTACATCCGCTGAGAACATCTTCATCGTCAAACCACAGGGTGACAATTAACTAACGATCGACAGCTATACACATGTACATAAGTAGCTTGCCTTTGTAGGAATCTTAGATCCCAGTTTTGCAAGTAAATGAACATTGCTGCTGCTAAGTACAGTGGCCATGACTTGTAAAGGTGATGTACCGAAAATAAGTTTCTTGTAATCAAGCCCTGTCGATGAATTACACCAAAGAACTCGTTTACTATACTATTTTGTTCAGTTGACTAAGATTTAACCAACTGTATAGCTACCTGGTGCAGCAGACTTCAATTTCTTTAGAACTTTGACATGCGTTTGAGCATCAAGTACATCCTGCATTAAACACACAAGTCAATCAGATATAAAATGGCACTATACTATACCTTTTTTATATGGTACAATATACTTGGTTGGTTCTGAACCAACACCACCTTATCGGTTACAAAAACCGAGGTTTCTCTTGCATCACACAAAAATAATCGGGTTTATCGACGAGACAAGACGATTCAATGAATAGACTTTTGTGTGGACAAGAAAAATTCTACACCTATTTCAAAAAACATTGTCGGTCACAAGATCTAAAATAGGCAATCTGAGACTTAATGGAATGATTGTTGTGTCTTTGATGTTTTCTGGCTAAGATACGAAAAATCACTGTTTCCAACTCAAAGGGCCTACTTCATGTTCGCATTCTAAAAAGGAAACAATTTGCAGCGTGCCACTCAGTGTTAGATTTCAGATTTCCGGCCACCGACAACATTTTTTGTAATAGGTGTATACGTAAATGATGGATCAAACCTAGCCTCCTCCGCAGGCATCTTTCGTCTCTTTTTTGTTGAATTGGGATTCCTGTGTCGCGAATTGGGATTCCCTCATCTTAAAGACACAGGAAGCCCAATACTCAAAAGGAGAGAAGAGACAAGAGAGATGCATGCGGAGGAGTCTAGATCAAACCCGCGGCGACTGGGATACAGTAACCTCGTATCATTTCCTTTTATTACCTACCGTGTTACATAATAACCTGTACTGGGATAAAGTAACCTCGTATCATTTCCTTTTATTACCTACCGTGTTACATGCTAACCTGTACTGGGATAAAGTAACCTCGTATCATTTCCTTTTATTACCTACCCAATCTCGTACCCAGAGCCCTTATTTCTTACTACGCATTCTCGACGAAATAATTGGGCTCTGGAAAACTCCAAACCGGAAGACCCAGATTCTGGGTTTCTCGCACATGCGCATTATGACACACTAGGTAAATTCAAAATGGCGGACGATGTTCAACGAGCATGTGAATTGCGCTTGGGAAATCACAGGTAGCCCAAGCTTGGTTTCTGTGGTGTCCTGTTATAAGGAAATGTATGGGGAATCATCAAAAATTTCAATAAAATCATCAAAACGTGAAATAAAGCCTCGAAATTTTACCCTATCATTGAGAAATAGCACTTCTTTCGCTCT